GGGGGGTGGGGTAGGAGCAGCATATCGATTAATGATATAATACAAAATAATATCTCGAAACAAACGTATAAGCGCGTGAATTAAATCATAAACGATTGATATCGTATAATAATATTGGTACCGTTCCAAGACTGTAATGAGCGCAATAAAAATTATTGAGTACCGTTTACGTTTACTTTCGAAGCGCGTGCAAAATACACACCGGGGCAGCGAGGACCCCGCCAGGAGCGGGGGCGGAAGGCCGGCCGCCGCGTTACGGATCTCGATAAGAAAAAATACAAAAAAAAAAAAAAAAACGAGGGATCTCAACGAGTCCCTTCGACCGCGGTGCACGGCTAACCCCACCGCCGACAGCCGACATGTACACGGTACGACGGCGGAACATACGGCACGACGCGTACAATAAAATAACGCGGTAACGTGTACGCGGTTACCTACCGGGTGGCGTCGAACCGTAAAAACAAAAATGCGCACAAACCGTAACCACGGTGGATTCCAGGAGCCGTCCGCGTAGAGTACACGGAGACGGGGGCGAAATAACGAGCCATATACCTATTGTCGTTGTGAGAAAAATTAATGGACAAAAAAAACTATCGACAATACACGGCGATGAAAAACAACAGTGGACGAAAAAAAAATTTAAAAAAAACCAAAAACGTTACGAGCGTTAAACACCGACAATTATAAGAAAAATTGTTACGCAAAAAAAAAATATATGTTATCGCTTACCTTTTCTTTGGCCCTTCCGGCGTGTTTGGAAACCGATTTGGCGATTAACGATCCCTTACTTTCGGCCATGACGTTCTGACTCGGGTCACCAATGCACAACAACTGATTCATGTTGTGGCCGCGGCCGTCGCCAACGCGCGTTATCAGTGCCCGGAATAGGGGCCAGCTGTTGGCAGCGCGCGCCGTCCGGTCGGAACGTAGCAACGCGTATGAAACGAGAACGCCCCAATCGCGTCGTCGTATCGTCGCTGTTGTCGTTACCTTACGCGACGACCACCGCGGAACTGCTGCTGATTACGAATAATAATAACAAAAATAGTATTATGGCGGGACGCGGGCGTCCGTTTGAATATATCGCGCGGACGTGGCAGAATCACGACGTCGGTTTTCTCCGGTTTACCAATACAAAATTGTACAGGTCTTTTTTTTTCTCAATGGTCTGGGGTTTTCGTTTTGCTGACGGACGCCGGATTTGTATTACGCGCTGCACGATCACCGCGACAAACGGACGCCGAATGAATGGTACATGGCTACCAAAACCTACCGGAACTGCGCGGGACATCAAGACGAGCGCGTGAAAGATGCGACGACGACGCGTACCCACTACCGCGATGAGGCTCCCCCCACGACTCCCGGCGCAATATAATAATAATAATAATAATATAGGTATCTGTGCGTGTCGTATTTTACGCGCGGCGCGAGTGGGAACCACGGTGACGTCGGGTATTATAATGTTATATAGGTATTATGGAAAAACGGAGCGGAAAAAAAAAACAAAACAACCGTACCGCTGGAAGGGAAATCGCCGGTGCAGCACAATGCCATGTGTACGACTCCGGAGACGCCGCCGCTTCACGTACCTATGCATCGTGTATTATTCCACGGTACAGTATAATAAAATGATAATAATAATAATATAATGGACCAACACCCATAAAGCATAACTAGCGGTGAGCGTCATCGTCATCACCGCTGCCGCCGGCGAACGTGGTCATCGCACCGTTTCCGCAACCAACAAAACCGAATCCAGCGTAAAAACACCGTTGTCCGTGTAAAAAAAAAAAATACCGGATACGCGTTGACACGTTGTTATGTTATGTCGTAGGTAACACGCCACTGCCTATGTCACTGTAGTGTGCAGCATAATATGCAGAACGAAGACCGCAACTGCATACGTGCAGTACTGCTCTAGCTAGTTATTACTTACATACCTATACATTAAACTTACATTCTATACATTATAGCAGGGGTGATATCTTTGTTATTATTTATTATTTATATATTTTTTTATTTATGGAAAATCGCCCGTTAGAGCTGGGGTTAATTTTTTTTTCCAAATAAGATTTAATCGACGGCGAAAAATTCGCTCGAGTAAAACTTTAGTAAAAATATCTATCAGTTGAGTAATAAGTATTACCTACTGCGTCTAATATGATTTGAAGACATTATGTATGCTGCGATTTCGTTGCTCTAAATGTTCATCCGCATATATTGGTTCACGGTTGTTCAATACGGACTAATATGTGGACTGTTTTTGAATATTTGCAGTAAATTAAACATATACAAACATCAGCTGCCTTACACAAATATAAATGAATCACAAAAATACTGGGCTACAAATAAGTTAAATATTATAATATATAAATGCCCATAGTGATTTCTCTCAAATATCATATTATACAAGTACCCAGGAATATATTATTCTCTTGACTCTCGTTGTAGCTAAACAATCGGTTTGTATAAACAGCAATGGAAATTGAAAGTTAACAAAAAATGTAAAAAATGATGCAAAAGAAATGTATTTATCATATATATAGTATCTATTTATTTATTATTTACAATGATTCATGATTATTACATTTGAAACTGGATGGTTTCTACCATTTCAGAAGGTACCAAAATAGTTATTGTAAAACAAATCATATGTCCTGTTGTCAGAAGTGCATTAAAGCACTTAACGAAAAATTAATTTTTTGAATCTTCATGAACCAGTCAATTAATCTGAATTTTCTTAAGACCTCAATTATTATTCTAATCAAATGCTCGAATTACGCCATCTAGCATCCACGATCGATCAGTATGACCATCCAAAAGATAATTTCCAAGGATGGGACTTACTAATTCCAGTTTTCCATATACACATTTAAAGACTATACTATACTAATATATAGCTAGGTAAATATATAAATATAAAAACACAAGACCAGTTAAAAAGGTTATGTGGTTGTGCATTTTTATAGATGCATTACGATGGACGGTGAATTAATCCAGGCTATACGTCAAGACTCAAGAAAACAATTTTTTATGGATAACGGTGTTTTTAAAGAAAATAAGACATAGCCCACTCTTGTCCATGCTTGCAGTTTCGAAACGAAGATTTTTATGAAAAAAAAAAAATTAGAAAAGGTGTCCACAGAAAATAAATAATATTGTTATAAGTAATAATAATTTATAACTCCCAGTTTTCCCAGTAAATGAGTAAATCAGGAAAAAACATGAGAAAACCGGGAAAAATGCAGGAAAAACGAGAAAATCGGTACAATAAAACCTATTTAATTATTTTACCATAATATGACATATATATTGTCGACAAAGAATCACTATCAACGGAACTCCGCTCAGAATCATTTTTTCATTAGCAATGGCAAAAGTATTAATGTTATAAAAAGTTTTATACTAAGTATATTTGCCAAATTTACCTTATTCATTTTAAATGTATTGATCTGCAATTTATTAAATTACGTACAATCGTATTATTAAAACTAGATTTTAATAAAGAAAAATAAAGGTAGGTACTTTAGTTACGTAACATATTAAGGAATAAAAAACTTAGCCCTCGGATTACGATTATAATCAGTCCTGTTAAGTATTCGAATACCTGTACTCTTTTGATATTTTGAATACTTTAAAAACACTTTTTGACAGATTTATTTTTAATTGTATTTTTATTCAAGAATATGAAATATTTTTGTACATGTTACCGTTTTATCTATTACAATATGTTCGTATTTTACGATTATGCATTTTAATTGGTTAACAATTATTTTTTTTTTTTTTCATTTCAATTGAATTTAAGTTTATTGATTCACTTAAATCCCTATACTGCGCCCTCATCAGACCGATTCTTGAGTACATTTCAGTGGGATCTCTACTGTGTTGATTTGTGTCGGCAACTTGAAGGCGTCCAAAGGAAATTAAATAATCATAAGTTATTGTTTACTTAGGAAAAACCTCAAAAAGGCACATGATATTACGGGTTAAGCAAACCCGAGCCCTCGAGATCCTATCGATGGAAAGCCCAGCAGGGTGATTCCTGTAGGCTTATGGTATTGTGTCTGTAAGATGGAGGTATACACTTTATAGTTGATTATACTATTTCTCCCTGTGAAGGAAGATATCAGAATACTCCCACGGTACCTGTCATAAGAGGAGATAAATGAGGTTGTATTAGGTTGACAGGTATAGAGTAAAATTGTATTAAAAAGTATGAGGAGTTGTAAGCAAGACTTGGATTTTCCCATCTCATCTATGACAATAAACAGTGTCATAATAGGCGAGGTTGAGAGTTTTTAAGTATATAGAATATTTGTACAAGAAAACGGTGTCTTTGACGAGGATTTGAAACATAGGATTAATGATGATCGGATAAAGTGGAGAGAAGCGTGAGGTGTTTTATGTGACAAGCAATTTCCAATAATACTTAAAGTAAAGTTCTAAAAAGGCATGGCGAGATCTGCAGTGGCGGATCCAGAACAAGACGGGGGAGGTCGATTTTGAAAATGCATAGGTATAAAATACGTATTTATAATGAGCTCAATGATGAAACAAACTAAGAGTATATTGGAAAGTGAGCAAAAGGGGGTAATCGCATATCGCAGCTCCCTTTGGATACACCACTAGGTAAGACTAACTATGTTATATGGTTCAAAGTGTAAGGCAGTAGATGAGAATGCTTAAGAGCATGAGTGGAATAATGAGATTAGGATTGGATAAGGAATGAGTACAGGCGAGGTAGTTTAAGCAATGCCCTGCCCTCCTGTGAGATCTATAAAAGAGAAGAAAAAAAGACATTGCTTCGACAGTAAAGAAAGTGAGAGAAAATTGACCGGGATGGTTTTAGCATGTCTTGAAGAGAGAAGAATCAGAAGCAATAAGAATTGTAATGAAAACAGACATAAGTGGATATAGGAGGAAACGAAGACCGAAAAAGGCGATTGAATGCGATTGTGAATGATCATGATATGACGACAGCCGGTAAATGCAGAATGGAAGATCGGGTTAAGTGGAAATTTAGAACGAGGGTAACCGATCCCAAATAATTGGGATGAAGGCGAAGGAGGAGAAGATTGGTTACTTACGAAATACAAAAATATGCAGCTGGTTTGAATATAGTAACTCTTACAATGTTGATCTTTTATATTCCATTGAAGACGTCCGTTTGAAAAAGTGCAAATTATCTATGTGAATCGAATCGGCTGAATCGAAAAGTTAAATCCATCAACCATTAAATATCATTAGAATTTATATCATTATTAACGATGCACGCAAGTACTATTTTCGTAAAATATAACTCAACGATAGTCAATTAATCCAGTTGTACCCGATATGAATTACTCGGATTTCCAAAATTATGTATTTTTCAATAAATAAAAATTTTAATTGTATTATTTAAAAATACAATTTTAAACGTGACATTTTGGCGCCCATTGGTAATAGGCGATATCCTGTGTAACCTTACCATCACGCCGGTCTTGGTCATCCTATAGAGGTACAGTTATATATTTAGTATTATATTATAAAATTTAAAAACTAGTTTTATTGTTTTACAATACAATAATATGAATTAATAGTGTTATTATTCAGTTGAAAAGTACCTATATAAAAAGTCGTATTTATGACATTTATGGTAGATATAAGTACCTATAACGAATAAAAAATATATGATTCACCATTAACCTACAGAACACATTATTTTTATTATAGTTATTTTATAGAGTATATAATATTTAATGTAGATCAAGAGATATATTGGTTTTGCTGTTTTATGTGTGTGTGTGTGTGTGTGTGTGTGTGTGTGTGTGTGCGAGGAAGAAAAGAAATCTTGCTCCAATCGAAAAATAGTCAATTAAAAGTCTTTACGAATATTTTAACTGAATCACAAAAAAATTGAGTAGATACAATACATTTTGTACATTTTCCGGTTTTTCCCACGAGTTTTCCCAATTTGCTTGAAAATTTGACAGAGGGTTCAATAGAAGGTTCATTTTAAGTCGTACTTTATGATCAAAAAAAAAAAAAAATTAGAGTAATATTTTTTTATATAAATTTTTACGAAAATCATAAATATTAGGGCTTTCAAAACATGTATAATAGAACTTCATTCCGAATCGTTTTTCGTTATCATTAGTTGATCGATGCTTACAGATATACATTTAATAACTTTATGTATCCTATCTTCTGAACTACCCAACTATCAATAAAAGATAAGAAAACAAGTACCTACCTATAATATGTACCTACATGGTTAGTATACCTACCTACTATGTATAACAAAATTATATAGTTACATTACTGTGTTACAGTATTGTAGTATAATACATAATATATTTTATTAAACAAAATTCAAATGGTATACCTAATTGAGATTATTCGTACATTACTTGGGAATCATAAGAATATAAGATAATTTAGTTTATATACTTAACAAAACGATAAATCATGGAATAAAAAACCTATTCTGAATGGGGAATCTGGGGGGTGTCCAGATCCCCTAGATCCCCCCCCCCGTAAAACCATCACTATACTTACATATCTATACAATAATATTAAATAGCCTAGGTATACATAATGGTTGTTAGCTCCTCCTTCAAAAACATAATATTTGTGCTGAAGGGGAGAGTTCAATTTAAGTGCTATATGTACAATAATAATACTATGATACAATTGAAATTGTGAAAGGATAATATAAAGAAGAAAAACACATGAGTATAATATACAAGACGAATTAATATAAGAAATATTAACATAAGTATAATATGCAACATTAGATAACAATTTATTCAAATTTTAGTTTCTTTGTTACATTAAGAATCTAAAATTAAAATAAATTATAAAACCAAAGTTAACTTCTTCTTCTCCCTCGTCTTCATCGATGGTTAATATTCCAAAAAACAAATTAAAAATATTATATTAATAATAATGTTATTGATTCAATATTGTAATTATTATATTAAATACCTAATTATTTATAACCGAATCAGAAATCATAATTTCAGACTTTGCTCTATTCATACATATATAACAGAAATAACGTTATAAATGATTTTCAAACTGAAGAGTGAACTATCTCATATCTTTGTTTTACTGCAAAATAATAAAAAACCGATACCACATTTTTAAGGAAATCATGCATTAAATATTCTTAATATTGAACGACTGGAATTTTTGAAAACCTTCCGTGGTCATTAATCATAAACTACCAATTGACAATAATTATTGTAAGAAAGCCAATAATATAAGTACTGGCCACTTTATTCATAAATCATAAATATTATATTGATGTATTGATACAAACACAATCAAATCATAATTGGCAAAAACATTAATAAAAACTTGTTTTCTGTACCTACCAAAAGAAAATCTGAAATGCGAAAATTGCTTACCTATTAAGAATTATTGTTATAAATTAAAATAATGCATATATTATGTAATTGTATTTGAACATACATATATATAATATACATACATGTGTATAGGTGAGTTATGAGTGTACCTACTCGTCAAATTGTTCCATTAGGTAGCATTGAATGCAAATTTGAACGAATAATAAACAATATACCACGCGGGTATAAACCCGTATTATATTACGTGGGTATACAATACCAGCTAATAAATGATGATAATAATTAATAATTTATGTAAATAGTTTTTATTCTTTCTCTTTTGGTGCTAAACTGCTAATATAAAAAGTACATATTTTTTGAATATTATAAAATCAAAAATATAAAAAAAAGAAACGATATTGTTGATGGGTGTGACACCGTTATTTAACTCTTTCCGGCACTGGGCGGCAAATGAAAATGATACTTTAGATGCACGGCAATTTTTTTTTTTTTTAATTTTTTTTTGTTTCCTAACATTTAATATATATACTTACCAACAAATAATAATATCACTAAAACATTTTTTAGTTAATTTTTAACCTTTACATTTACAATTTTAAGGTGGTTAGCTATACTAACCACCATGCATATAATAACAAAATTGTCCAGTATGTCATAAAGAACAAATTTATTTGGAACATGTGTTTGTGAATAAGTTGTAATAGTTTATGTAGCACTGCTTGATTGATCTAATTCGTCAATATTTGAATTTAATTTACGTCTTTTGATTAGTGAAGTGGGATTTAAGTTTGAAGAAGTAGATGGAGCGAAATCAATTTCATTTTCGTCTGAATAATGTTCATCATTGTCGAAATACAAATTAAAATCTGGGTCTTTATCGAAATCAACATGATCTTTATCAAAAGTTTCTAAATCTGACCCTAAAGATATATCTTCAACTATCAAACATTTTTCAATTACTCTTTTACTCAAACTTCTAGTATGTCGAAACATAACGATTAATCATTGCCAGTAATGTGCACAGGAAGTTGAGAGTTTAGGGGTTATTCCCCCGCCCCCATTGGCATAAAAATGCAAGAAAATATGAGTGATCTAATATTGAAATGCATATATTTCAGTCGAGTCACGAGGAAAAACTTGATCTAGGTATTAATTAGAAATTGGCTTTTTCAGGATCCGGTTTTTAAATTAGTAATTCCTGTAAGCCATATAGTTAAGTTGGGTAGAGAAGACGATTTTACAATTTATTCATGATTCTTATTTGCAATTTTTCCGAAAATTGAAAACCGGGAAAAACGGTACAACAATTAACAAATATTATTAGAGAAAATGTATAGATCCTGTTTAATTATTTTACTATAATGTGGCATATATATTGTTGACAAAGTATTACTATATCATCTGAACTTTACTCAGAATCGTTTTTTTGTAAGCAATGGTTTATCGTTGCTTACAGGTATACATTAAATTACCTATAACAGTGGCTGCACCCGTCCTCATTATCCTAGGACGTTTTTTTTATGATAAAAACCAATGGTTCTCAATTTCCCAGTCTAATATTCAGCTTACAACGAGAGACCGTAAAATCCCGGAAAGTAATCTCACGGACCGTATTATTCCAGAAAATATATACATAAACCGAAATGTCACGAACCGTATTCTCCCGAAATTTCAAAATATTCCTACAGTATTGTCACGGATTGTACAAATCCAGAAAGTCACCAACTGTATTCTCTCCCGGAAAGATAAAATATTGACAATAAGCGCAATTCATTGGGGTTCTTTTATTTGTTATATAGTAAATAAATTTTAATATAGTTTAAATTCAAGCGGAATGGTGATTATTAGTGTTATGAATTTAATGCACTAAAAACCTTAAAAAATATAAAAAAATGTACTATAATGATAAAAATTGAAGTATAAAAAGCATTTAAAATAATTTTTAATTAAATTTTATATTTATATTGATATTAGTATGTTAGGTATATGCATACAAATTAACTTTTATAGTAACAAAAAAAATAAAAATCTTGATTAATTTAAATTTTTGATTTTTAAGTTGATTGATTCTTTAATAATTCTATTCGTGTGAAACAATTTTTTAAAAAATTTTTATATATTTATGTGTTAAAATAATAAATTTTACATACCTCTTGTCATCCTAGAATTCACGAGTTTAAACCCTGGTTTTGAACAAAATTGTTTGCACCTTTTACCAAAACAAGGAAAAAAACAAATGCGTTTTGGGTGTACCTAGAATTCTAATCCATCGCTCGCTCGGATAGTTTTAATCTCAAAATACTCCTCGATTTATCGTGCAAACTTTTCTGCCAGAAATCTTGTTCCAATGTATCAAGTATAGGTAGCTTATTTTGTCTTCGTGATAATTTAAGGAGGTCATTTTTCAATTTTTCAAGCGGTTTTCTTAATATCTGGGAAAGACCTAGATAAAATGTCGGAAAATTACAAAAAAATGTAAATATTAGTTAAAAAATATTACGACCTTCTATTTTTTCTGTGTATAACTTTTCTAGCAGCAATTTTGTTCCGATTTACAATGATAGCACTGTTTTTGAAATAAATTCTGACTGGGAAGGTTCTTTGAGGAGGTCATTTTTCGATTATCCCAGCAAATGTAAAATATCGGAAAAAAACAAGAGAAAACCGAGAAAATCGGTACAACATTAAACAAATATTACTAAAGAAAATATATTATGCCTATTTAATTATTTCACCATAATATGACATATATATTATATTATTGATAAGAAATCACTATCAAATATTATCAACTAAACTGCTCTCAGTAAGTAGATATATATTTGTATAAAATAATAATACAATTAGGTTGTTGTAAATGTATATATATATATATATATATATATAGATTTATATCTATTAAACATACTGATTTGAAAATAATATTAATTTAGTAAATTTGTGGTGTTCACTTGTAGCAAACGAGTTCGAAAATGTTTTTCCTAAAGCTAACGGCCCTACTGAGAGCGATTTAGTATTTTTGCATTTCGAGCGTTTCTGTTATTTTACACGCGCGTTATCCACTAGCGATTTTGAAGGCCCCGCTAAAGCGATTTTACATGCGTTTATGCGTTTTTATACGTCGTGCGTGTGCGTGTTCCTTTTATTTTTCATTTGCTCATTCGGTTGTCGATAATGATGATGTCCAGAAAAATGTTGCTAGCTGAAAGTGTTGCTTTAATTGATGTAAAACTAAATTTGGGTAAGAACCGTTTATGGGTTCACAAAATAAATAGGTATAGACTATCTGAAGGAGAATTTCATACGCTGTTCAGTAAATTTAAAAAAACATTTGGTCAAGTTTTTTGAGTACTGTCGCATGAGTGCAGGCACGGATCCAGAACAAAGATCTGGGGGAGGGGGGGGCAACAATTTTTTTACAACACAAATACAATTAAAATATAATACATAATGTACATTATTTTCTCATACAAAAATCGGAGAAATAATATGTCTGGGTTACTAGCCCCCCCCTGGATCCGTCACTGCATGAACCTACTTTTTATATAATTTTTGAAGCTATAAGAAGTGAATACCGTACAAATATATCGGCAGCTATTTTTTCTGACAAAAACACAAGACATTTTGACAGCGATTATTTGCAAAATATCTAACTATTTTGTTCTTTCAGCGATTAATTCAAGATAAGTTCCAAAATAGTATCTTATCACTTATCATATCAAATTAATTTAATTTAATAATTCACCTCTTAGATAACGATTAGCGGCCATTTGTTGGTGACATTATTTTAGACCTTAGATTATAATATCACATACTATGTTAGATGTCTAATTCAAATAATATTGTCTATTTAGACAATATTAGAATTGCATCGACTTTGATTTTCATAATTTTATATTAAAAAGATCACCAGTAGCTTATCAATATTTATCCATCATGAAGGTCAAATAATATGATAATTTTAGATTATTTTAATTTTGAAAAAGTATTAATATTGAAAAAAAAAAAAGAATACACACTGTGGGAATATCAGAAAAATAACTATCACAAATTTGTTTGAATCTATTGTAACACTATTTATTTTTAAATAGCAAATAGTCAAAATATACGTTTTGTCAGTTCTCTATATTGAAAATCACTTGACTTTAAATGTGGTAGGTCATGACTTTTCTAGGCATGCATACTATATATAAACAAATTTAAATAATAAGTTTCTCATTTATTAAAAACTAAACATAACAATCACATTTGCATAATGTTTAATCTAGCAGGTATATTTGGCACATCAGAGTGTTTGAATGGCATTAGACTTAAGTTTTATAATACCATCTTGGTGATAGAATTCAGACTAACTTTTTTTAAAGTGAAACAAAATTCCAAAAAAAATAAATATTATAATAATTTCTGTAATTGATTACTTAGCTCTTAATTAATAATATTAATATAATATTATACTATAATAAGGAGGTTTGTAATTATTTATTTTTGTATAAGTATCACAGGATATTTACCATTCAACAGACAAAAATGTACGTTTATTTAATAATAAAAAAAAAAATTAAACCAATTTTACAATATAAAATATATTCAACAGTAAAAAGATGGAGAGTTTGAGTTTTTTAAAGAACCTATACAAATATGAGGAGCATTCAAATAATTTAATAGTATTTTAACAAAATATAATTATTTACATCATATAATTTAAATGTTAAAATACACCAGGATATATTAACCATGTCTATTAAAACCTAATAAAAAAAGTAAATATTTATAAATATTACTCTTGTTTATATTTACAAAAAATGATATAAAAAGGATTAATTTTTTTAAAAAAAAAATTAAAAAATTTCATTGTACACATCTTTAGTCTTTACAATACAAATAACCAATAAAAAATAAATAATAGTTACATAAGTGTTCAAGTTGAAGTAAAACAGATTTAATCAAGTATCACAGTGGTTAAAATCTGATAAAAGATTGAAATCCCAAATCAAAAATGTATGGTCTGTTTGATTATTGGTATAATTGTGTTATTATAAACTATTAACTATATAAATAAAATTATTAACTATTGAAACAAAATTTTTAATACTGGTGCACACTTGCACAAGATGTAATGAAAGATATAAGAATGAACATATCAAGTGATGAGTTAAACTATTAATTAAAATTGTTGTTCAAAATTATTAGCTCTTAAAAGAATTACAAAAATGATTTATAAAAGCCATAAAGGGCCGCTAAAAATTAACAGATGAATAAATCTGTTTATCTAATTCATACAGACCAATTAATTATAATTTATATATTAAATATCCACAAGTAAATGTCAATACACCTGATTATTAATAGTTCATGTTTATTTTATTGGTACTACATACTGTAAATGTGGTTCTCCGAGACTTGGAATATGAAATAAAATTAGTATTTTCATTAACTAGTGTACATGAGCAGAATTTTTTTTTTACGTGGATTTTCGATTTAATCGAGTATCACAGATAGTATGTTATTTTCAAAATGATAACATTCTGGACATTCAAATTTCTCATCCACCATTCTCATTGACTGTAAAACAATTTTTAAAAACATTGGTTTTAATTTAGTAAAAATAATAAGTATGGTGTTATTTTGTAACTTACACTTATACAATAATAACAGAATATATGAGAACAGTTAATGTGGTGTGGTAATATTGGTTTTTCTTGACAAATAGTGCATACTGTCCTGGCATTGATTAATGGCATTTTCCCAATCCACTGTTTTTTATCACAGTGGGATTTTGAGTTTATTAATCTAATAACCTTATGCTTTATAGATTGATAATTGATTAACGGTAAAGTAAACAACAAGAGTTCCTAAAATTGAAAACATTAAATTATACTTTTGAAATTAACTAAATATAATCAAAATTCGCAACTATAAAAAATTTGTAGTCAATTACATTAATTACCCTTCTTTCTCTTCGTCCCAACTATTTGGGGATAGACTCATCATTCTAAACTTTCACTTGAGTCAATCTCCTACACCATGATTACATACACTAGTAGTCAGGTATCATTCTCAATTATTGCATTTTACCACCCCTTTTTTAATCTTCCTCTTCCCTTAATTTCTCCTACAATTATTTTCAATATTATTCTTACTGCTTTATTATTATTCTCTTCTCATATAGCATGCCTAAAAACCATTTTAAGACTATTTTCTCTTATTTTGTCCCCTATTGAAGCTAAGCCTCTTGTATACTTGTACCTTATTTTATCATCTTTAAGCCCTTCATTCATCCACCTTAAAAATTGGTTTAAAAGGGAGATATGTGGAAAGTAATTCTCCCACAGGTTAGGTAGAGTTCAATAATTGCAAGGGTTTTTATTTTATTTTAAGTCTTCCTCTTCTTTTATTTGTTTAATTCAAGCACTGGTTGTCTGAAACCGACAAAAACCAACAAATTATACATATTTGGTAGTATAGCACCATCAGATATTAGAAGACAACAGCGAAAAAAAAAATGAATTTTCGATAAAGATCACTCCTTACATGGATATATACCACAGAATAACAGATTAAAATTACTACATAGCTTCTAACATAGTACCACTTGAATCAATCGGAACTTGACAAACATATATAAAGATAGAAAGATAGACGCAAAGCAAATAAACTAATATGGATAAGAACAAAGAGAACCTTTACACAGGAAAAAACTTGAAGTATAGATTTTGGAAAACCTTTAACCTCCTAAGAATAAAAGTAGGAATACTAAAAAATAACCTCAGGCAATGGAAAATAGGATTGTATTTGAGTGTTGGTAAGCAAAAGAAGTTAAAATATTTTAAATAAAATTATTAATTAAAATATAGCCAAATAAACCATATATTAATATTCAACTGAATTAATGAAGTTATTAGGTAATCAAAGATATTCAATAAAAAAAATACTGCATTACACTCAATTTTTTATTTTAGACAAATAAGTACAACTTACAATGAACTTCCTGTCAAATTTGCAAGCATTTCTGTTGGGTCAAACAATTTTATCCACAGAGTACCTACCAAATAAAAATGATGTAAAAGCTCCTAAAATTTGAATGTCTATAAATGGTCTTAATATCTTTTAAATTTTACCATGTCAAGAAAGAGCAAATATAAATTGTCTATTAAAAAGTTCCTATAAATATTTTTAATTGAATTACAACAAAATTTAACATGGTAAAAGCATTATTTACACACATTTTCCTGTTCTAAGTCTTTTTGCAGTTTTTTCTAAAAAACTACAAGAAAATCAAACTATCTTACACATCAACTAAATTAAAAATTCAACAATTTCTTTTAAAGCAATATTTCTAGTAAAAAACATAAAAAGTATAAATAATGCTATAAATTTATCAGTTATCATTTTCTAAGATTTCTCAATTATTTAGAAAACTGTTTGGAAAATCAAAAAATGACCTCTCTAATACACCAACTATACTAAATTTTCTTTCAGAAAAGGTGCTACACTCTATACATCAGAATAAAATAGCATATTGAAAAATTGTTTACAGGTAAAAAATTAGTCACATATGGTTAAACCAATAGATCTCTTGTCACGCTCCAAATCTGAAATTATACATTCTTGTCTTTCACAGAGTTCAATAAATACAAATAAAATAAAAATAATAGTTAATACCTAATATTAATTAAAGTATTGATTGTAATATATTTTACATACAGAAAAACCATGCCAAAGGAGTTCTCTTGTCATATAAGTATATTCAATATTTCTTTGGCGTGTTGATTCTTGTAAAAGACTTAAAAATCTTTCAGCCAATGTTGGATATTTGCCTTGACGCAGAAATAATAAAAAATTTAAAAAAGACGCAGCTTTAAAAATAATTACAATTGATTGTAAATCATTTATCTGAAAATATTAATATCCAATTAGGAAAAAACTTGTATAATCATATTATTTACACTAATAATATTTAGTGACAGTAAATGGTTTACATTGTTAAAAAAATTTTTTGAAGGACTTTCTACTTTAGACTGTATATAATTTGCACCGACCGTAAAAAGTTGGAAAAGGGCTAATTTTTTATCTGTCAGTTGATCTGGTTTAAATCTAACTCCAAGCAAATGTTGACCGAATGTTGCTTTTGTTTTTGTCACAGAATACTAAAACAGTTGCAGAACAATATAAGTATTTATTAAATATGCTTTAAACACAGTGATTCACTTAACTAAAAAAACATATTGTCTTGAAAAGTATTAAATTTTTTCAGATATTGTTTTATAGAACATTTAAAAAACTAAGCATCTCCAAAATTTAATCCATAAATAGATGGAATATTAGTTAAAAAAAAATTTAGGTGTTGAAATTTTTGATTTCCGCAATCTGTTAATGAGATATTCCACTCTTAAGTTTTAGTTGGGGAGACTAGTGGAGCATTATTTATGTGGCGTTTTAATAATAAACCACTACTCTTCCCTTATCAAAACTTAAAGGTGGAATATTTTGTTAACAAATTGACAGAAATCAAAAATGTCGACACCAAAATTTGTTTTAACTAATATTCCATCTATTTATAGAATTTTTAATACAGGTTGTCATTTGAAAATAATAAGTAGGTAATTGTTTCACCCCCAAAGATAAGGATGACAAAAAAAAAGATAACGTAACATTTTAGAACTAATTGTTTCTTAAATTTTCAAAATATTAATATTTTCCAAGATAATGAATGTTTCCAGTTGAGTGAACAACCCTCTATGTTAATAAAACTATTTCACTTGCATAAGTCAACAGACATTGTAATATTGCATTTAATTCTAACTCACAGCTGTTTAAAATCCATGCCTGTAACAAATTAATTATAATATTTAATTTTAAAATTAAACTGTTATATATTTATTCATAATATAAATTATTCCAAACTTATTTATGAATAAAACATAATTTACAGTATGTAAAAAGACGGATTTGCTTTGCAGTGGATAGGCTACTGTTGTAGATGAGAAGTTAGGAAGGTAGAAGAAAAATTGTATGTATATCTATATGCTACAATACACCATTGCTAACAAAAAATGATTCTGAGCGGAGTTAGATTAATAGTGTTGCTTTCTTAACAATATATATATCATATTATGGTAAAATAATTACATATGTATTATATATAGTTATTTTCATTAATAATATTAATTGTTTAATATTGTACCTACCTCTTTTCCCATTTTTTATGAAAACAACTGGGAAAATTAAAAAATGACCTGCCTAAAGTACCACTTCAGTTAGATTTTTTTTCAGAAAAAGGACCATATGGAAAATTAAACCAAAATTGTTAGTAGAAATGTTCATAGATATAAAAAAAAATTCACACCATTGTAAAACTAATACATTCCTCACTCCGCTCAGAATCTAAAATAAGTAAAATAATAATAATGTTTGCATAAAAAGGGAGCAAGAAATACAGTACTCGGAAAAATGGCCTAGTATAGCAAAACAATTCTTAGTAAACAAATACCTACAAATACTTATTGTTTATTTTATTGTTTTTAACTATGAATCAATTCAAGAAGATGTAGATATTATTAGTGTATTACAATTAAGGCTGGAAATGTAATGTCTTGTAAAACTTTAAAAAAAATGGATTTTATGCACTAAATAACGCACTAAAAAATGTGTTTATTTCTGAAAATGTTGATACAATATACAATTTCCCAATAAAAATATACTTTCAAATTATTATTGAGAGGTTTTTGGTAGAACATGATAAAATGTTTAAAAATCTAAAGCAATAAATCAGAGAAATAAGATAAATATATAGATATACATTTTGTAAATATATGTATTAATTTACAACGGGCCTTAATTACTAAATATTTTTGTCTTCAAAATAAAAAAAAAATGCACACAACTTGCATAATTGGTGAGCCACCGTTGTAAGTGAGAAGTTGAGAAATGATATGAAATATTTTAAGGGAATTTAATGTATATCTGTATGTAACAATGAATATTTGCTTATAAAAAACGATTTTGAGTAGAGTTTGGTTTACAAGTTTAGAAAGCCTGTAATATTTAAAATCTTCATCAAAATTAGATACTAAAATTCTTACAAAAAAAAATTATACATTATACTAAATTTTTTTTTTACTACAAAGTATAAGATCATTTTTTTGAAATTTTCATTAATATTCGAGATAATGAGGATAATTGCCATTGGCAACCATTTTTATTTTTTTTTAAACAATTACTGCTGTCATGGAAACACACATTGTTGTAAACACTTTACCATAATATGATATATATCATACATTGTATTGTTGACAAAGCAACACTATCAACTAAGCTCAGAATTGTTTTTTCGTTAGCAATGGTTTATCGTTGCCTACAGATATACATTAAATTCCTGTCTGTATACTATCTTTCCAACTTCCCAATTACAACAGTGGCTACATCCGTGTGCAAAGTATGTCAATTTAATATAAATTCTAAGTTGAGAAGACTATGGGACCTTTACATTGCAGGTCCAGGATCATACCCTCCCCCCATTAATCTGGGCTTGTGTATTATCTATGTAAAATAAAATGTTTTAATATATTATTATTTTTTGTAGTATGTTATTATTTTTTATATAACTAGGTATTAATTTACAACAACACTTTTTTCCATTATTCAAAAATACTTACTGGTAAAAATTTAAGAACCTTTAACGTTTGGCCAATGAATATTTTGGAGATATGATCGTCAAGAACGTGAGCATCAAGCTAAAAAATAATAAATCACAAGTTTCAAATGAAAGATTACAAAGACTGCATAGTCTTTATAAATTATAATCATGATATATCATGATTGTAATCTATTCACATAGTTCTCCAAATGTATTTGAAATTAAGAAAACATTCAAACAAATATCGACAATTTAATGATAACAATATTTTATTTCTTGTGTCAAGTTTATTGTTTAAATTTAAATGAAATCAATATTATACTGTTAGTATGTTAGGCATGTAATATTGAGAATGTTTTTAAACTTACTAAAGTCACACGAGGAACCATTCTGAATATCTTATGATAAACAATCTACATCTAATACCGCCAAAAGAGTTTATAACTCTATGTTCTTTAAGTAAATAAATATTAGAATCAAAATTTCATATATAATTTGATTTAAAAATAATAATTTAATAAACATTAAATATTATGTTAATTTGTTTACTAAAAATTTGGACAATCCAATATTTTAATTTATGATAACGAAAATGTGATAATAATTAGGCTTCCAAGCAAATCGTTATCACGGTTCACTTCCTTCAAAGGTCTTAGTGCCTGTTTTTACCAAAAGCAACTGGTGACGGCAACGCAATCGCGATATGTATTATTAAATTAACACGTTCTCACCGGTAGCAACGGGACTAAAAATCAACGCGACTATTTGAAAGTAACTCGATATGTCAGTCTGTTTAGAGCAGTGTCCCAGCAACGTTTTTGTTGTATTTGTATCTGTTTGTTATTCCCTGTCTTATTACCACCCTTATTGTATATTTTAAATAATTTATAAAATGGCAAATTAAAAAGAAAAAATAATGACATTTGTTAAAAATGGCAAACAATAACAAGGCAATCTATTGATATCAACGAAATTAGAAAACAACAGTAATTTCTATGATACTGAATTAGGCCTAAATGATGAAATACAATCTGATCATGAACAAGAATTGTCTAAAATATTGACCAGCGAGGAGACGTCAAATAATCGTAAAACAATATTATATAGCGAAAAAAAATTAAAATTAAATATAAATTAAATGATGTTGAAAGTTGTTTTATGGAATATTTTTAAACAAAAAAGAAAAATATAACTATAACTGAACCAGAATGTACAGACCAAAAATTTCTTTTGAGTTAACTGCTGGATACGAAACAAATGAACTTCACACAAAAAAGGCAATTCAAAAGAAAAGTTTTGGACGTTATTGGTTGTATTTTGGGAGGACTCAGATCCAGTATCTAGAAATTCACGTGTTTTTAGTTATTCATCATCAATGATACCAGAGTCAAGAACAGAAAATCAATATCAATAACAGCAGACAGTGATTTTGGATATTTTAACATATAACAATAAATAATAAGATTTAACGAGTTTTCAAAGTTATTAAACTCAAATCTTTTTAAATTTTTTTATTTAATTTTACAGGTCACTACTTTTATTTCTATTATTTTTAGATAAAACATTTAATTATTTAACTTTAATCTTGTAATTGTATTCTGTTCTATTATAATTTATAACCTTATCGTAATGAAAAGTATTTCCTCGACTGACACTGCTTTTCGGTAGTTTGTATCCTGTCTTCTAATTGATAGTTTCATTAACTACTAATTCTTGAAACGTTTCAATACTCATCCTATAAAATCCATGAAATTTGGCTGAATCTTGGTCTAATTCTCTAGATTATATGAATGAACTATGGTTAATGTGCAAAGAATAAGGATGAATCCATATTTTTTTTGTCATTTCTTATGTCTTAAATACATGAATGCTACAAACATATCCTCATCCGCTGAAGACATTTTGACAAATGAGTTATGTGAAACTGAAAAGTTCACAGTTGCATTTCAGTTTTTAGATGAGAACATTTGGGCAACTCAACTGAAACTATAATCACGTCGTGGTTGCGTTGCCATCGCCAGTTGCTTTTGGTGAGAACACGGTCTTGTACACCTATGGTACGAATCAAGGTCATTTGTGACAGAGTACTTGAATACATTTTAGATTCTTAGTTGAGCGAAGAAGCTAATCTTTTACTAAGATGTTTATTATTATTCTTTTTTTTAAATCTGTTAACACTTTTTCTACCAGAAGACTTGCTCGGATTTCAAATTTTAGTACTTTTTCTGAAAGGAAATCGGCGTGGAAAGGTACGTTATAGAAGTAATTTTTCGATTTTCTCAAACATTTTCTCATCAAATGTAAAAAACCGAAAAAAAAAACTGGACAATTTACGAAGTATAATCTTACTATATTTATTTTTACGGATAAATTTTCTACCAGCAATTTTGCTCCAACTTTTAATGATAGCAATTTTTCTGAAAGCAAAGTTTATTGGGGTGGTACTATAGAGAGGGCGTTTTTCGATTTTCCCAACAAATGTAAAAAACCAGGGAAAAACTTAAGAAAAACGAGAAAATCGGTATAACAAATATTATTAAAGAAAATTTATAGTCTATTTAATTATTTTACTATAATATGAAATACATATATATTATATTATTGATAAGGAATCACTATCAAATATTATCAACTAAACTGCTCTCAGTAAGTAGATATATATTTGTATATCACTATCATCAAAAATCCGCTTAGAATCCTATTTTTGTTAGCAATAGTTTCTCGTTGTTAACTGGTATATATTAAATTACCTATAACAGTAGTTGCACCTGTTTTTTCCTCTTAAACCTATATCAATAATATGATTGCATTTAACTATTTCTGAACCTTCGACAAAAGTTCTTTTAAAATCACCAATATATTGAATTATGTGGATGAATTCTATTACAGAATTAAACATTATGTACTTTTATTACTACAAATTATAAACAAAATTAGTTTTAATAAGGCTATTTTAAAAAAACTAGTAATAAATAGATTTTTTTGGCCGAATTACTATTATTCTAATGCTATTATAGTGCCCATCTTCCCGTTAGCCTTATCATTAGTGTTGACTAGAGCGCTATCTAGTTTTTTTATATATATATGGTCAGTGTACCAAATACCTATCTGTGATACAAACAAACAAAACTAACTTCACTAAAAAGTTAGGTTAGATTTGACAATCGGCCAATTGGTTTGACGACACTACGACAGATCGTTCCGTGTATTGGGCCTTTAATATCATAAATCATATCATAATAAAATAATCTATGATAATAAATTTCAGATTTATTTTTAAAGACTGAGATACCATTTTGTACTTTTTAAAGTATTTTCAAGTACCAAAGTTTAAAGTCTTTACTGATTACTCCGTGTTACACTATTTATCATTAGTTATTCTTTCTCTAAATCATAGGTCGGTAATATAAAATTATTTATTTTCAGTAAATTAAATGAATAATAATTTAGTTAAATAATTTTACTACTAAGTTAAAATAGGTATATGAGTAATATTTTTAATTTTTGTTTTAGATATTGAAAAAAATGACTTCTACTGAAGGTTCCACTGAAGTCGCCGAGAGGTAATTTTTTTATTTAAAATTTTCTCATAGTTGGAACATTATCTAATAATTTTGTAATTTAAAAACTAACATATGTCTTTACTTACCTTGTCATTAGTTAATTAAATATTGATATTTAGTGAAATATACTAAATAATATTATAATAATATTATTTTTCTCAATGGATAGGTTTAAGTACACACATTTCTGAAAATGGCTATCCTATTTATAATAGAAATTCAAACTATCAAAAACAATTGTTATCAAAATTTAAGAATTTCTAAAACAGTAATTTGATTTTATCATTATTATTTTACTAGATGTCCTGCATCGTTTAATCTGTGTCTTGATGGCATATAGAAAAAAAAAAAACCAAAAAATTATTTTGCCATTTTCACTCGGATCATATCTTGGTTGTTGCCAGTAATTTATTTATTTGTTAAAAGTTTTCTTCCCCATTTGTAACAACCAAATCGACTAGTAACAATTATTTTTTCATTTGTATTATGAAGGTAATATATAAATAAATTTAAAAAAAACATATGGGTGGACCACTGTTGTAGATTAAAAGTTTGAAGGGTGAGGAGAAATTTAATGAATATCTGTGTGCAAAAATAAACATTCTGAATGAAGTTTGATTATATATATTTTGAAAGACCATATTTATGATTTTGTAAATATTTCCGTTATTCCCATTTATTATGAAAACAACTGGGAAAATCAAAAAAAAGTTTACTGAAAGTGCCACCCTATCAGATTTCCTTTCAGAAAAAGTGCTACACTTAAAAATCTGATCAAAATTTCTGGAAGAAAAGTTGCTTTGAAAAAAAAATAAACATTACAACCATTACATTTTTCGCTCCTCTCAAAATTTAAAATTAGATTTTCGTACATATAATACTAAAAACCCTGTGTGTTGCCCTTGAGGGGTTCAGAAATCTTCAAAGAAATCTTGCCTGAAGTGTGTATAGACCTGTTCAACTGCTTATACATGTAAATTTTCAAACCTCAGTGTTTTATTGATTTATCTGTATGTTGCACAAACAGACAGTTATTTTATTTTATTTTTATTCTTCACAAAGTTATTTTTTCTATTTCATTCATCTCACGGAAAATACTTTGGTAGTTATTGGTACTACTTTATCAAAGTATGGAATTATTTTAATATGATAGATATTAAATACTTTCTCATATTATTTAAATATACATTTTATTTATTCCTAAGCTATTTTATTTTGTTTATCTAATATTATTATTAACATTGAGTTTAAAAGAATAGGTTATGTTTTGACTGTTCCTACAAAAAGGTTTATTTAAAAAGGTATAAAAGGTATCTCTACTCATCCAAATAAATTAAATTAGAATTTGGAAAAAGTTAGGTACAATCTTTTTTGTTGGAGCAGTCGATTAATGTATGCAATGTCAAGGTATTTTTTTTTTATCTGTAAGCATTTTTTACCAGAAGACTTGCTAAGATTTCTAAGTGTAGCATCTTTTCTGAAAGGAAATTGGCGTGGGAAGGTACATTATAGTGATCATTTTTTGATTTTCTCAGGCATTTTCTTGATGTGTAAAACTGAAAAAAAAATACCTGGAAAATTTAACCTTAAGATTTTTTTTGTGGACAACTTTTCTACCAGCAATTTTGTTCCGAATTTTAATGATAGCAATGTTTCTAAAAGAAAATTTCACTAGGGAGGTACTTTAGTGAAGTAATATTTCGATTTTCTCAGGAGTTTTCCAAGCAAATGTAAAAAAACCAGGATAAAACATGGGGAAACTGGGAAAAGTGTAGGAATACTCGGAAAAGCAGTACAACATTAAACAAATATTGTTAAAGAAAATATATAGAGTCTATTTATTTATTTTATTTTAATGTGACCTATATATTGTTGACAAAGCAACACTATCAATCAAATTTCGTTCAAAATTGTTTTTTGTAAACAATGGTTTATTGTTGTTTACAGATATACATTAAATTTCTGTCTGTATCCTACCTTTCCAACTTTCCACCTACACCAGTGGCTGTACCTGTCCCTATTATCTTGCCTTGCTTTTGTATAAATAGTTTTAGTTTATATCACAGCCTAAGATATATCTTAATCCATAGTTTGTATTAAATTAACATAACATTTTATGATTCTATTAATGGTACTATTAAAATTATATTTTAGCGATCAAGTTAAATCCAAAAATCAATTAAAGAAAGAAGAGAAACTTGCAGCTAAAGCCATGAAAAAACAGCAGTTTAAAGCAACAAATGTAAATGATCTAATTAATTTGATATGTTTTATTACTAAACATTGCATGAATTAATATAAATTGTTAGATGGTTTTTTGCATCCCCTAAAACCTTTTTATAATAGGATTAAATTAAATTTAATTACAAATTTATTTGTTAGGAAAAAATATTATTAATATTATGAAATAATTAAAATAAATTATATTACATTCACTTTTTTAAATATTAAATTTATTATTATTAAGTAGATACAAATTAACAAAAGGGTCGGCATCGCTTAGTTCTAATCAATTTTTTAATATTTGGCGATTACTGTGATAACTCCCTTCTCAGGTCACATTCCACTAATATTTGTCACGCCTTCCACAGGCGTCCCCTCAGGTTTAAAACCACTGGTCTATTGTGTCAAAAGTTTTAGCCAAGTCAAGATAAACTGTTACACATTTTATATCATTATTTAATGCAGTGTACAGCTTCATTGACTTTAGAAATAGCTTGGTCAGAAATTTTTTTTGTCTAAACCCGAATTAGGATGGGTAGAGAGTATCATTAGTTTCAACGTAGTCTTGTAATTCTTTTTATCTGAAAATACCAAGCTAATTATTGATGTATTAAAAATGTGTAATGGTTTTAAGAGTATGGATGAGTTAATTTTAATCATTTCAACCATAATGTCATGCCCAGGTGCAAAACTGTTTTTTAGAGTCCTAATTGCTTCTAGGACAGTAGTGTCATTAAATACTTTAAAATTACTGAGTCGGTGGAAAAGGTTTTTTGTTGGTTTAGGTGTTTTATTTTGGTTTAATATTTTTTTTTAAATTTGTTATCTTGTTTGATATGGAAATTGCTACGTTAATAAAATAGTTATTTAAGGTCTTTGCAATTTCTTTCGGTTCTTTGTTGACGGATAAAAAATTTCCTTGTCATTTTTGATGGATGAAACTTGATTAATTTGATTGGAATAGTTGGTAGCTTCGCTAATTAATTCCCAGCATCACTTAATATTATTTCTTGCTTTCAGTATTTTTGTCTGATAGTAGTAATGTTTTGCTTTTTTGATGGTTTGTGTTAAAGTATTTCTAAAATGTTTGTAATATTGGACCAGATTAGTATTATTATCATGTTTCTTGACTTGGGAGTGAAGGTAATCTCTACGTCTAATAAAGATAATAATTTCTATAGTGGCCTATAGTTTGATTTTTTTTTGTTTTAAACGATATAGATATTTTTTCAGTGGATTCGGTAATTAGAATATTAAGTTAGTTAATTAATTTTTGTGCGCAGGAATTTGCATCTGGATCATTAATTATATCTCCCCAACTTTGTAAAGTTTTTTGGTGAATATATTGTGGTTAAATTTAGTAGGGTTTCTGTAGGGTTAGGTGGATTGTTACGATTATTAGAAATAAGGTTTATATTTAAGATTATAGAATAGTGGTCTGTTATAGTAGTATAAGCCACATATGTTATACATTTTTGTAGACTCAATGATTTAATTAAAATATGATCTATACATGAATCTATACATGAGTTTTATTTTGGCAGGTAGGGCTATTGACAGTAATAATGATCAAAATAATTTTATTAACTAAGCTAAGGTAGTTATTAGTAGTTTCATTATTAATTTTTATTTATTTATTATTAACATATTATAGTCAATGTTCTGGAGCTCTAACCCTGCTTCAGTTATATTAATTATAATTATTTTGAAAGTTGAACTATCTAATAAGATGTAAAGTTCCTCGAAATTTTTGGCTACGCTGCGTATATTTAACAATAATATATTTAAGGAATTTCTATTGCTTAGATTTTTGTTAATCACAGTCCACACAATGTTTCATATGAATTATAATTTTTATTGTTAACTAGTTCTACGTCAATTAGGGCCATATAAATTAAGGATTGAGATAATTCCGAATAGGAGATTGTGTTGTGAGAAAAACCAGTAAAATAGTTGAACAAGCCGCAGATAATAGTGACGCGATTAATACAATTTATATAAATACAATCAATGATATTAACATTATTGTTATTATTATTTGACATAAAGAAAAATACATACAAAATGAGAAAGGTAGACAATATAACAGAAATGAGATAAAGGATTATTAATAGTGTTTCCATAATAAAATATTGGATAATTGTATCTAGGAAATAAATACAATATGTGCAATAAAGATTATAGTGTACCAAGTTTTTCCTAATACATACCATTCAGGCCTTCCAGTCATTCTCTCTTCGTCAAGTAACATTTGCGCCATTATATGCCTCAAACTTCTCTTTACATAAAGACCTAAAAATCGAAATAGTCTCTATTACAGTTAAAAATTATTATAAAAAATTCCACTACAAATCACTCAACTACATAAATCCACTAGTATCTAACTTGGCCAGTAAATGCATCCCAAGCAACCCCTTCTCCTCATGACGACTAAAAAGACACTGGTGTCGTGATCTTTTGAATCTCAATCCTATTTAATTAACAAACTTTTCTCCTAAAGTTAAAGAATTTCCACACTGGTGGTTTTCCTCCCTTACGCCTCTTCATGTTATTAATATCCATTAAGTTCCCATATTTATTTATTGTATATTAATATTACAGATTGTACATTTACTTTTTTTATGTAATAAAAAAAAAAAAGATTATAGTAAAATAGTATAATAATAAGTGGTTTCAAGAGGTAGCTTCATTGTCAATAACTATAGCTATAGAAACATCATTCTCATGTTAGAATACTTTTCCCTCCGAAGTTCACACATATTTGAAGTCATTACATTTTTAAAGTCTCTCGCTTGTTTAAATAACATGTTTTTTTCAGGGACTCGGTTCTCTCCGACATAGATCGGTGAGTCAGAGTTAAGACTCAGGAATTTAGAAGAAAATGTCCTTTTAATTTTATGAATTTTTAGAAAATTTTTCGATTTAAGACAAATTTAACCAGTAACCTAGGTTTGTGGTAGGGCACCGAGATTTTATCTTGTAGCAGTCTTTTATCATGGAATCAATAATTTTAAGATTTAGTTCATTTACTATACTTCTGACTTTTTCTAGTATATTTTCATTAGGGATTTCCAAAACACCGTCTATAATAATTTTTATAAGGTTTTGCTCAAGGTTAACAATTTTAGATTTAAGAAGAGAAATAGTATTAGTTATTAGATATTTTCAGTTATTGCTTTATTTAGTTTGTCTTCTGATCTAAAATATTTATGTCTCGTTTAAACATTAAAATATCAACGCTAAGGCACAGATAATCTTACTTTTAAGTAGTAGGTGCAAATATAATGCCATGCAAGTATTATGTCCTTGTAAATATTTTACATACATTTTCATAACTGAAAGATATTTTTGTTTTATCCATTTTAGATATTTAATAATAGATAATACATCTAGATACTATGAATTTTTATTACAAAAAAAAAAAAATATATTATTTTTATTTTTATCAACCCGTAACTTGGTCTACAACTTCAATTCTCTATTCTGATCAATTGTTCAATTTTTTTTAAGTTCTTTAAATACCCTGTCTCTTACATTTGTTTTAATTTGCTCTATATAAGAGATGTGAAGACCACCTCCAGTTATCTTTCCTTCTATCATAACTATTGTAATTATATTATGTGGTTTATCTTGGTGTCTCCTGACATGTCCAATCATTTTCCAACATTTATTATGATTGCATATGTATGTAAATTTTTCTTTTAATATTCTAAGTACCTCATTGTTTGATTTTTTCTTTATTCAACTTATTCTTTCTATACATCTTTCACACTTCATTTAGATCATTCTATTTTTTCTTTTCAGTGTGATTTATGATCTATGTTTCACATATATATGTTTTAATAAATCACTTCTTGATATTGAAATGTATCTTTTTTAAAGTGAATAGTTTTTACTAAAATTTGTACATTGTTTTGTTTCTTAAATGGTAAATAAAACAACGTAGATGTAAAAAAAAATATATATATATATATATAATAATTATCTTATTTTTAATACTATATTATGCTTTAAAAAGAAAATATCGAATGACCTGCAAGAATCTGAATTGGACATCTCAATCTCCAGATATGGAGTATTAAAAATGATTCAAAGTTCAAAAACCGATATACCAAATAGAATTTTTGTTGATGTCAAAAACCTCACTAGTGTGTTAGCTAATAATAGTGTTTGGATACGTGGAAGACTTCATACCAGTCGTGCTAAAGGCAATTAAAAAAGTTTTGTTTTTATTTTCAATGGATATTAATGTATTACTCTTTAGGTAAACAATGTTTTATGGTAATTAGACAACAGCAATGGTCTATTCAAGTATTAGCCGTGGTATCTGATACTACCAGTAAACAATTTGTGAAGTTTTGTTCCAAGTAAGCAAAAAAAAAATAAAAAAACATGGTATCATTTATAAATAATCAATGTACACTTTATTATTTATATTTCTAGTATTAGCAAGGAATCTATAGTGGATATTAAAGGTAAAGTTACTAAAACACCTTCTAAGATTGGATCATGTTCACAACAAGATGTTGAATTACACATTGAAGAATTATGGGTAGTTAGCCAGGCTGTTAGTCAACTTCCTTTACTTATTGAAGATGCATCAAGACCTGTTAAAGGGGGCGATGAGGTAGTTTATGTACACTTAAACTTTTATTATTTTTTAAATTTTTATTGAGGAAATTAACTATCTGTGTGTTCCTTGATAACCTTGATTATCAATCATTTGAAACACCAGATTGTTCATCTGATTGAATGTTAAGGAACACCGATTTATATTAAAACACAGAATGTTTTATCACTTGATCTAAACAATTATTTGATAATAGATGTTAACCTGGTAATATATAAATGTATTATATTATATTAAAATAAATTATGATATAAATAATAAATAAATATAATATTGGTATATTTTAATGAACATTTTAAAATGTAAAACGGAAAAAAGAAACGTTATAGCTAAATGTTGATAACACCACATAATTTTGATAACTCATTTCCATCGTTTAGCAAACAAACTATTTTCTTGATTGATGATCCAATGCATCGAGAAGTAATTTGATTAGTAATCAGATTATTAGAACTTGATGAGGAACATCGAAATCCTTTGGATTGTTTATCTGATTGATAATCCAGCTTGTCAAAAAACACATGGTATATAGAAACAGAATAATGATCAAATCTGTTATAAACGTGGTGAGGATTATGGTATGAAGTCCAATATTTAATTCAAATAATTTTTTAACTAGAATATGTATTCAGTGGCCAGTGGCCGCTTTGTTTATGAATGTTTAAATCTGTAAAGTTTATTATAAGTGTTACATAAATAAATCTTTGGATTAAATTAGAGAGACTACCTATATCAATAGAGGACGGCCAACTCGGGAACACATTTCTATTGGTTGACACATTATCAGTCACTGTGACACTGAATTTAATGCAAAACTAAATTTTTTATGTACAATTGTTAAGGGATTATTTATTTTATATTGCAAATATATTTTAGGATCAAGGTCTTAATATTAAAGTCAATCAAGATACAAGGCTAGATAATCGAGTAATTGATCTACGTACCCCTGCAAATCAAGCTATTTTCCGCCTTGAAGCTGGAGTATGTAAACTTTTCCGAGACATTCTCACTGAGAAGGTAAATTTAATAAATATCTAATCAGTAACTTGTGTTTGCAATAATAGAAGATTATATATTTAGAATTTTATACATTTTTTAAATAAATTGTATATTATAAATAATTAAAATGTCTTTCAATTCAGGGTTTTGTTGAAATTCATACACCCAAGATGATTAATGCGGCAAGTGAAGGTGGTGCAAATGTGTTTACGGTGTCATATTTTAAAGGATCTGCGTACCTTGCTCAATCGCCCCAATTATATAAACAAATGGCAATTTCTGGAGACTTTGACAAAGTCTTCACAATAGGTGCAGGTATTACAAGTATTTTATTAATATTATATGTTATGCAATATTTAATTTTGATCTTTTAACTTGAGAAAATATTATTTTCAGTTTTTAGAGCTGAAGACAGCAACACGCATAGGCATTTGACAGAATTTGTTGGTTTAGATTTAGAAATGGCTTTTAAGTATCATTATCATGAAGTAGTCGACATTATTGGCTCACTTTTTACCAATATATTTAAAGGACTACAAAACAAGTAAATATTATAGTTCACTTTGAAATATTAAATTAGTGTAGTTCAGTCAAACTAAATAAACAATTTTAATTTTAATCCAACTCCATATTGATATTAAAGTGGTTTTAATTTTTTATAAATATATATTCAAATGTAATTTTTTTTTCTGAAATTTGAAGTATTAATTTATATATTTTTAATTCTCAATCATTAATAAACTAATTACATTTTATAATTATTTTGTTTATTATAGATATCAAAATGAAATTAAAACTATTTGTGATCAATATCCAGTTGAACCATTTCAATTTTTAGACCCACCACTAAAACTTGAATTTCAAACCGCTGTTAACATGCTTCGCGAGTCTGGTGTGGAAATGGGCGATGAAGATGATTTATCAACACCAAATGAAAAATTACTTGGACGTCTGGTTAAAGCAAAAGTATAATTATTGATTATTAAATTAAATTTATATTTTAACATTATAAATAAATACTAATAAATACTATTTTATATTTTCTAGTACGCTACAGATTTCTACATTTTAGATAAGTTTCCTCTTGCTATACGACCTTTCTACACAATGCCCGATCCAGATTCAAAAGTAAATTATTAGTATAATTGTAAAATTTAGTTTCTTTAATTTTACAAATATTTATTTCATTAATATTAGGTTGCTTCTAATTCGTATGATATGTTTATGAGAGGTGAAGAAATTTTATCTGGTGCTCAAAGAATACATGATTCTGATTATTTAATTGAAAGAGCTAAACATCATGAAGTTGGTATGTGTACACTACATTTTTTTAGATTATAATAGATGATATACTTAATTTATTTATTACTAATATGATTGTTTCGTTTAGACGTTGAAAAAATTGCTGCTTATATAGATGCTTTTCGTTATGGTTGTCCACCACACGCTGGTGGTGGTATTGGATTGGAGAGAGTTGTTATGTTATATTTGGGCTTGGACAACATTAGAAAAACATCAATGTTTCCTCGTGATCCAAAACGACTTGCGCCATAATTAAATTTTCTAAGAACTTAGTTTTTAATGGCATTTAATTTCATTATATTTTTTTAAATAAAATAATTTTATGTTGTATGGTATGTCAATATGATTTTTGTCCTACTTCATAACAAATTCTAATAACATGATACATATTTTAAATATTTTTTTATAAGATACATATTTTGACATTATTAGGCTGTTAATAGTAAAATTCAAAAATAAATTATTAGGTATTGAAGTAGGTAACACAAAAGTAACAGAAAAATGTTGCTTGTATATGGTAAATTTGAAATAACTGATAATTTAATTAAATTAACAAAATCCTTGTGAATTTAATGATTATAATATATTAATAATAACAATTGTTATGTATCTGTAAACATTAGGATGTATGCAAATTTTGATATTCTTAACTTTAAGTCCATAAATGAGTGGTTGAAATACAAACTAAGATGAATATTCAAATTTTTGGAAGGTTATAAATCATGTAATACGATCATAATCGTAAATGAAATGTGATGGCGGAAACGTCAAGGAAAAAAATATATGCATGAACAATAATAAATTAATACAAATCGTTTTTGAAAAACGACACATCCTGAAGTGCGTTAGTATACTAAAATAATAACTGGCATCTAAATGCAATGTTAATCAATAATCATAAACTATTAATATTTAAAATGTGCATAGATACGATTATTATCGTCAAATTTAGCGGCAAAGCTGTTGGTTGTTTTTTTTTTTATCCATGAACGATTGGCGTTTTAAGGTTACTGATTTGTTTCTGTGCCATTGCTCTCGACCGAAAGGTACGGATTGTTTTAATTTATTATGGTATTATATAGTAAACACGTTCGAGCAAACCCTGGGTCCTCATACCCTTTCAGAGGGCTGTTTGCTTACGGCTACAGGACTGGTGTATTTTTTGGTCAAACCGTCTGCCCTCATGCCGGTATTTACCACCACGATGTAGTCGAACTTAAAGAAAACAATTTCTGCTAAAAACCGCGCCGCCCGAATGTGACTATTCGAATCGGCTCGGTCACGGCACTCGCGACATACTACTACGCAGTAGATACGTCGTGACGTCATAGTCACGTTTTCGACATTGCGCGATAGCAGGCGCGGGCCGTAGCGGTGTCTTTTGGTGAAGGCGGGTGTACGCGGGGTCCCCCGAACCATTCCCATTGGGTCAATGGTCAATGTCTGATACCGACTCCGCGTCCGCCGATGTTTCCAAAATGGAATTGCGATTAAAATACAATTTACCAACGACCCTTTATACCGTGGTCTGTGCCGCCTAGATGTCACCGCTCTTTTGTGAACGTTTGGCGTGAACTGGCACCTGACCCGACCGCCCCGACGACAGAATCTATCGTTCACGGCATGGTTATGTACTGCTGAAGAGTTGAGTACTGAGCACTACATTTTTTTTTTTTTTCAAATTTTTTATGAATTACGACGCGCCGCCACCGTTATCGGGTTCTTCTTTCTCTCAAAGTTCGGTCCGTTAACAACTCTACCAGTTACCACTACGACGCCGCAGAAGTTAACAGCCGAGTGCGCGCGCGTGTGTTTGTGTGTATGTGTGTGTAGTCGTTTTCCAATGTGCTGCTGATGCCACCGCGCCGCCACCACCACCACCACTACCCTCAGGTAGTAGTAACGTAGTATGTGGGCCGCAAACCAGGCCAGATAGGCGTATCAGAAAAATTTCTTCTTTTTTTTTTTTTTATTGATAAAAAAAAAGTGTGGAGCAATAAATCACGTTTCTTTTTCATCGTTTTTCTCGTTCCGTTTTCTTGCGGCACGCATTTTGCCCGTGTTTCCTCCGTCGCACACCGAATCGTACGAATTCTCCTGAATAACTATGTAAAATCTAACGAAGCAGCAGCCCCCGCCGTACACTTGGTCGACGACAGCGACGACGACGACTACGCGGTCAAGAGAACTCTTCCAAGAGAACTAGGCAATTTTACGTATAATCCGCCGAACGTCGTTCGGTGGTCATGAGTGGAAGGCCCAGGACCACTTCCTTTGCCGAAGGAAACAAAACTTCCCCGAATCCACCTATTGGCGGAATTAAAGTCATAAGTACGTACATTTATATACACACATATACACACACACACATACACACACACATACACACACACATACACACACATACACTAACACATTTCTCGTACTCAACAAAGTCGCGTAAATAGCACATCATGATGTTATTTTTTACTTTATACCGTTTTGTCGAACGAACATTATCTCTTGTATAATTTGTTTATAAAATTTAAAACCTCACCCTGCAGGTGTGAAGTATAATTCCTTAATTGATTTATTCGTACCTAGGGTCATCAATATGAATATTTTAACATTATCGGAAATATTATTGGTTTGATATATTATCAACGTAACAAAAGGAATAATTTTCAGACCTAATAGCTACCTATAATAATATGTCAATTAATTTCGGATTATAAATTAAAATAATAAAATTGTCTAATATTTTCCCAACGCGATATTCATTTCATATTTAATAAGCCGCATTGTGATTAATTTTTATTTTTTGTGAATAAAACCAAACGTATTTGTATCTACATAAAACAAATCAAAATTAAAATTCAATATTGAACGAATGCAGTTTAGCTCCCAAGCCATTTTTTTTGATTTTTTTTTTACAAAATGTGTATTTTTACATGCATTTGATGGTACTTTCAAAAAAGGCTGCTCAAACTTCATTTGAAAGTTATGGTCAAAATACTCAATTTTTTCTAAAAATCATGTTTTTGAGTGTAAAATACCAAAAATTTATATTTTTGGAATTTTTTTTAGAAAATTGATAGACATTTTTATGTTCAACATTTATGTGAAATCAGATTTCACCTATTGTACTTAATTTTTATGCTATTGTTAATAAACCACATAAAACCTAATTATAATGTGTTTTTAATCATTTGCCTATTACAGTGAATAAAAATTTATTTTTCGAATTTTTTTTTATTCAGTGTGTTATAAAAATAAAGTTATTGGTGAAATCTGAACTAATATTTTTTGGTTTGGAAGAAATAGTGGAAAAATATATTTTTTCTTATAGATATATAAACATCACATTTTACCTTAGGAAAAAAAAAATACTTTATATTTAATACTATTTTATATTTTTACTTACTCAAAATAGTTAAGAAAATAAAAACCTCAATAGGAAGAAAACTGAAAGGCATGGTGAAATTTATACAACAATTTTTGTGTCAAATTATTGTTATACATTTTATATACATTTTTTTTTCTATGTAAATTATCGGAATAAATCTCTACATCTCCATACATATCTGTCTATGCAGTTAACTTTAAACATAACATGAAACTTTGAGAGGATGTCCATGAATGTATTTTAGTATGTTATGGTAATTAGTATCCAAGACTGCAATTTTTCAATTACTGCATTACAGAATATTATATACAATACAATATTACAGAAATAGACCTTTGGCGTTTTCGTTCAAGTAGCTTATAAATATCAAAAAAATATTAATTAGTTCTAATTTTACCAAAAACTTTGTTATTACTCACCAAATGAAAAAAAAAGTGCAAAAATCAATTTTGATTTACCTTAATATAAAACATAATTGAAATAACATTAAAATTATGTTTTATGTGGTTTATTAACAATAACATGAAAAGTAAGTATGTTAGGAGAATTTGAATTTCATCAAAATGTTAAGCATATAATTACTACAACTTTAAAAAAAATAAATTCCAAAAATGTGAATTTTTGGTATTTTAAACTCAAAAACACGATTTTTAAGAAAAATTGTATTAAGTTCTTTGACCATAACTTTCAAATGAAATTTGAATCACTTTTTAAAAGTGCCATAAAATTAAGCATGCAAAAACACATTTTGTAAAAAAAAATTCTAAAAATCTTAGAGAGTTATTAAAGAGCTTTAAACTCTATTTATGCCTCAATATCCTTGCTAAGGAACCAGCATTATTTTTATTTATTTAGTCACATTTAAGAACCAATTGTTTATAAGATTTGTCATTAAACAATGTAGGTATATATACAAATTGATAATTATTTACTTTTCAAACAAACAAATTTGTTGCATTACTCGGTTAGATTATAATAACTGAAACTATTAATTTTATTCTTTACAAAATATAATGCTTTAAAACACATAACTTTTCTAAATATCTGTTAAATAATATATTGTAATAATTTCAAACAACTTTCTTAACTAGGTTTTTTTATATTATTTTTAAATAAATAGTTAGGTACTTCTATACTTCTACTAATAACTATTTGTTGATATATTTATATACCTATGTGAAGGTAATTACTTTTTTTTAGATTGCTTATCACTTATTTACAATATTCTTTTCTACAGTGACGTATCTGGGAGAATGAGAATGCCGTGGACCCCCACCAAATTTAGAAAATCTATAGATTTTAAAATAAAAGGCAATATTTGATACATGTAAATAGAAACTGATTATATCCTCCTTGCCCATAAAAAAAATCCCAAAATCCATGTTTATAACACTACCTACCTAGATATATTATTCATAACTTCTTATATAATTTATATGTCTTACCAGTTATTCAACCAATTATTGTGTTTCCTTACTTGTTTTTTGCATACCTAACACTGTTTATTTTTAAACTTATAATTCATTACTTTTTGGATTGTTATTAAAATTGTGAGAATTTGTTTACAACAGACACTTGCAAATTGTTTATATCTTTTAAACAAACTTAGAAAAGGTTTAGTTGCATTCAATATTTATATTTTTATACTAATGTAGTTAAAAACTAATATTCAGGAGGTAGGTATGTAGATACCTATTTTTAATTTATTGTTGATTATCCCCTGAATTAATATATATTATTATTGTATAATATGTTGTTCATTATTTTAAGTACCTAGGTAAATATTTAATTTACATAAATAAGTAGGTACCTACTTTGATTTCTTGATAGTTTTTTTTGTATGATCTATGATAATATTAATATTAGTTTTTATTAAAGTGTTAGGTACTTACATAAAATAAAAATAAATTAAATTGTATATTATTAATTGGTTGAATTATAACTTTCGGGCCTAGAAAATAAATGCCTAAATATCAAAAAATGACACATGATATTTTCATCTGTATCTTTTTTCGTAAGTACTTCAAAACCATTATAATATATAATTTGGTATATAGGAAAAGAAATTAAATTCCATTATACCTATGGATATTTTATATCTGTTTATAATATAATTTACTGTATACCAACTGTCTAGCTGTAGATCCATCATGTAGATCAACTTTGATTTAAATAATGTACGCGTTTGGAAAATAGTTACTGGATAAATGGGAAAATGAAATATATAACTGAATTATTATAAAAGATATATAAGTAAAAGATTTAAGAGTAATGTTTTTGTTATTTTAACATTATTTTTTTTTCAGGTCTTAAATCTATTTATCGATAGAAATGCTCTAAGACATTTATAGTAAATACCCACCACTAATTTTTAAAATCTATATGACAAACCTATCTACTACTACTTGATGCATAAAACTGTGTTTACCTTTTTTTATTTTATATATATTTAAGAATACTACAATAACCTTCTTAATATAACACATTTTCTAAAATAACTTATAAATAATTGCCTTTGATCTTACCTCTGTTCTTACATGTTCACAAAACAGCAATGAGACTAGTTCAATGTATGTTTTAAAACTTTTAATTTAAATAAAATGCATTTATTAAATCTAAAAATATATCTATTGATTGATATAATTGTGCCAATTTGATTTTGAAATTACTTGGACCTTCTCTCTATATTCAATGTCAATACATTGGCTTAAATTGTTAGTAAGTAGTAATGGATTTACATCTCCCGTGTGAGGATCTTTCAATTAATGATGTGGTTCCTATTTGGAATCCTACTGCAGTAGCAAATGCTGAACGTCAAAGACTTCAAGTTGAAGGTATAATTTTCTAAATTTTCTTTAGGAATTGAGTTGTGTAAAATGTATTGGTACTAAATCTTAAACTAAAATATATGGATAGTGTGACTTTTTAATTTTATATTTCTGTTTTAATTAAATTATTTCAACAATATTTAAGTAATTAGTAAAATAATAATTATTTCCATAAGCACTTAATTGTTACCCTGTTTTAATTTATCATTATAGAAACAGATTTGTATACAAACTAAAGGTAGCTCTAGGTATATTCTATTCACAACTAGAACATACCAGTTCGTGTCTGCACAACTGAGTATTTAAATGATGCCAGATTGACTGAACCTTCACCACTGAACTAGTATTGGCTGATTATATATGCCATATATGTGCAAAATCAGATGTGTTTTTGTCCACTATTTGGTATGTTCTAATTCTGAATAGAGTATAACGGAGAATATAATGTTTACAGAGGCATAATTTTTTACTTTTAGTAAGTATGTTAATAAAATAATAATTCTATTCATAATTTGAATGAACCAATTAAAACTATAAATGTTTAAAAATAAGAATGTTAAGTCAAGTTTTTTTTATACCTATTTTTATATTTTAAATATAAAAGTTCTGACCAATATTATATTATTAATTTTAAATTTACTTAAGTTGATACCTATTTTAAAAATAATTTCTAAAATTAAGTAATTTATAAAAGTTCAATTAAACATAAGTAAAAAATTAAAATTTTCTGAGCTGAATTTTATAATTTTGAGTAGTAAAGTTGAATAATAAAATTGAGCAAAACTTATGTAGGTATAGTAGGCATTGTCTCAATGTCTCAAATGTAAAATTTTGAAAAAACAACTTTGTATACACCTGTCAAATGAAATATATAAACTCTCTCATACTTAAGTTCCTAACTTAATAAATAAATGTATCAAAAATAATTAGTACCATATTTATTTTAAATAAATCAACACAGGTAATAACTTTAAAAAAAAATCTTGTTTTTCAAGTCTTGTACTTATTGATTTAATATAAATACTTAATCTTAAATATTATAATATATTTTTGTCTTAAGTGATCCAATCAAAATATTCAATAAAATAATTGTTTTTATTAAGTACATACCTAATTAACATATATAATTTTGTTACGTTAGATTTTAATTGAAAAATAAACACTATTTATAAGTTTTACCAATAATTCTATTTTTATCTTTAATTTTATTCATGCCATATATCTGATTATGTAATTTCTTTATTTCTATTGAACTTGATCCAACCATTTTATTGAAATTTAAATATGCTCCTTCTGGATTAGCAATAGGTAAACTATGTTAATGAAAAAGCCTCAATTATAAAAATTAAGTTTGGTTTCATAAATTATTATAATGTATACGGATACACAATAAATACCTGTTACACATTTATATAAACATAGTTGAATTTTATATATACATATTACACATTTACATTGCATCTATAAAAAAATATCGGTCATAATGATTTATTTGATCCAGCAAATCTCCATAGTAGTGTGTATTAATCATGAAGATTAAACCAAATTACTTAAAATGTATTAAATAAAATTATGAATATTTTATTTATTTAGTTACTGTATTTATCTGTAACATAGTAATAAACAAAGTGTTTTAACTGTCACACATTAGAACACAATTGTTGTTTACATACCTAAATAAAATATTTAAGAAAAATATTTCTATTAATTTAATATTTTCAAATGAATGACAATGATAATAATGGACAATTTGTAGGAAACCAAAATTATAATATAGGTAGAGCTTAACTATACACATTGTCATATTATATTATTTGAATATTAAAAAAAAATGTTTATTGTACTTAAACATTTTTTTATAAACAAAATTAATAACACATAACTTAAATGAATGTACTTATTTATTTTAGATAAAGATGGTAGTAATGTTACTACAGTGGTGGCAAATCCTTGTCAGGGACCTGACCGACCATTGGAGGTGTCCTATACAGACACAATGGTTATTGGTAATGGAAGTTTTGGGGTTGTATACCGAGCCAAATTATGTGATACTGGAGAAACAGTTGCTATTAAAAAAGTTCTGCAAGATAAAAGATTTAAAGTGAGTACCTAATGCTTTTAAATAGATGTAATCAAATTACTTAGACCTAAATATTTTAATAATGTAAGTAATAAAATTATTGTGGTTTATATGTTTGTTTGTTTAGGTAAGTAAAAATCAAAATTATTTCAATCTTAGATTTTTTTTAAATGGTTCACATTTAATGTAATCATTGTGCAATACTTGGTATTATTGGTATATTATCAACACTTTAAACAAACCTAATAATATTTAATAGCATATAAACACTGTTAAATTTACATGAAATATTTTTTCACATTTATTAATGTTCTACATTATTTCAGAATCGTGAACTACAAATAATGAAACGTCTAGACCATTGTAACATAGTGAAATTGAAATTTTTCTTTTATTCAAGTGGTGACAAAGTAAATTCATATAATTCAATAAATGTGTAAATATATTTATGTGTATTTTTAATTTGTTATTATTATTTTTAAATATTAATTCAGAAGGACGAGGTTTACCTAAATTTAGTTTTGGAATACATACCAGATACTGTGTATAAAGTTGCTCGGCATTACAGCAAACTAAGGCAAACTCTTCCGATCAACTACATAAAGGTTTATTACTTTTTAATTCTATCTAACTATCAATAGATTATCACTTTATTTATAATTTTATTTTATAGTTGTACATGTACCAGTTATTCCGAAGTTTGGCATATATTCACTCATTAGGCATATGCCATCGTGATATTAAGCCTCAAAATTTGTTATTAAATCCTGAAACAGGGGTTTTGAAATTATGTGATTTTGGAAGTGCTAAAACTCTAATCAAGGGTGAACCTAATGTATCTTATATATGTTCAAGATATTATCGAGCACCTGAACTGATATTCGGTGCTATAGACTACACAACAAAAATTGGTAATTTTTTTCATGTATTTAATTTTTTTTTTTATGCAATAGTGATATAATTATATAATTAGTTAAATAATTGTATGTACATAATACATAATACAAAAATTAATAAAATATTGATTTCATAGGTTTAATCAAAATAAGTTATTATTTATTAAGATAACTAGTGATACAAAAACTAATTTAATACTTGTGTAGAATAATAATAATTAAATTATGATAATTATTTTTAAATAATTGTTTGTTTATAGAATTTCTTAGAGTTTTTTCATTGAAATTAATAACACTTAATATTTAAAATTCATGTAGTAATGTATATAATTTAAGATAAATTTTTTTGGTTATAGTTCTTATAATGTTCAATTAATCATCTTAAATTATTTAAGAGGGTTTTGGTTGGTTCATAGTGTTTAAATGATATAATTCTGATACTAATTTAATATTTGAAGTAAGTATGAATGCCTCAATAAAATTATTAAAAATTAATGTTTACTTATGACTTGATCTATGTAAAAAATATTTGTATAACTATTAACTCAAAAAGTACCTTATAAAAAAAAAAAAAAAAATGTATATTGATACACTCATTATGAAAACTATATTAACATTAGGAAATTTATTTTATTTAGTCAAGAGATAGTAAAAATTATTTTTATACATTCATCAATTCAATTATAGGGCAAACAAATTGCATGTAGAATATTATATCTTTACTAAACAATTAAAAATATGTGTATTTCTAAACAATTTTTCTATTAGAATCTTGTTCCTAATATCAATTTCAGGAGTGGTTTTTAGTATCAAATTTTGTCTAGTTGGTGCTTCTAAGTCATTATCTAATTTTACTTGTAGTTTTCTTTATAATTATATAATTAAAAAAATATGTAAAATAATATTGCTTTTGTATTTTGATTTTGTCTTTTATTTTATTCAGTTAAAAATAATTATAGACTTGCATATTACATTTTCACCAAATATACTAATAATAAGTTAATGAAAAATAATATAAATAATAAAGTTAATGTAATATAAATTATATTAACTTTTTAGGTGTACAATTTTCAAATTATTTTGCTCATTTTTGATATATTTATAGCCTTTTAAAACTGTTTACAAGGTCCAATTTAAGTTCTACTTAATAGTATAAAAATATCGATTGAGGTGTAATCTATTCAATTTTTTTAGTCAAAATTATGATAACAATCTTAGAAAAATAAGATTAACTGGACATCGTTCAGAATCGTTTTTGGTTTATTATGTTTACTAAGCTTAACAATTTATATATTCTATAAGGATCTTATGAAACCAACTAAGTGTGTGTCTCATTAACTTAATAGTATTTATGTATATTGTATTTTAATATATTTTGTTTAAAATAATTATTTTTGTTTGGAAGTGTTTATTAAGTGCTACTTTTTTGATTTTTTTTTTTTTTCAATATTTTTTAGAAAAGTTAGAAAATTAGAGCAGAGATTTATAAATATTGTTATTAATTTTAGAAGATAAATATGAATTATTCATATGTATGAAAAATGCCACATAAATATCTTTATTGCATTTTTAAGACCTTTTGATATCTCATATGATAGGGTACATAATATTCAAAATGTTCATGTATAAAGCTACAATTAAATTATTTTTTTAACTTTTGGACTAACAGTTATATGACAGTTAACGTGACATTTTTTTGTATAACTTAATCAAAATCTATACGAATATTGCACAATGTTTGGCCTGTAATATACAACCAGACATTCAGAATTACATGACAGAATTATAAAGGTTCTATTTTTGTCATTTTGGCTTCAAATTAAATATAAAATATTTTGAATAATTTGGAATTATTATTATTGGAACAAAGAATATAAGAGATTATTGTATCCTAAGTACAATTAGTTATTATTTCGCCAAATGAAAAAAAAAAAAAGTTATTATTTGTATGGAAAATGATATACTTATAATTTGTAATACATGGGAATAAATATTAAATTTATAAAAACTTCATTTTGTCCATAAATAACAGTAAAATGAAGAAATTGTTAAATTTCTATATATAATTGAACCATATTTTATATTTTGAGCTACTAGAGTAATATAATAAAAATAATTTTATTAATTTTCAGTTAAAATATTAAATATTGATTTTTCAGATGTGTGGAGTGCTGGTTGCGTATTAGCAGAACTAATGTTAGGTCAGCCCATCTTTCCAGGTGACTCAGGTGTTGATCAATTAGTGGAAATAATAAAAGTTCTAGGCACCCCAACAAGAGAGCAGATTAGAGAAATGAATCCCAACTATACAGAATTTAAATTCCCACAGATCAAATCCCACCCTTGGTCAAAGGTAAGTGTTTAGCTTTTACTAATGTTTACTTGAATAATTAAACTAACATATTATTATGAAAAATTTTGTTAAATGATACTCTTGAGTTTGCTCATCTCTTTGTCTTTAATTTATACCTCTATCAACTTTATTTAAAAAAAGAAATTTTTTTTATAAATTGAATTAATAAAACGATTTAAGAAGAAATAATTTAGAAATAAACATTATTTTATTTAAGGTGTTATTACTATCTAGTACTAATTTATGTATATGTCCAATATAACAAGTTGACAAAATAAATTAATTTAAAATTATAACTTAGCTAGTTTATTGATTTTAATTTTTTTAATCCAGGTTGTTGAGGAATAAAAATTTAAAAGATGTTTGAGCAAGTTCATTATATAGGGTTTTCCAATTTCTTAACCTTTGTAAGCATTATCTAATTTAATTAACGAAACCTATATTTTTCTACATAAAATATATAAAACTAACTTTCACATTTTTAATGTTTCTGTTTTTTTTATTTTTATTATTATTTTTCTTCTTCTGTTATTATTTTATAAAGACATGTTAGAGAAAATGTTTTCGTTCATTTTTAATGAACTCTATTATTCCTTGCAGTTAATGCTTCAACGCATGTCATTCCCAAAAAACAACAATGTCCATCAAAAAATTAGAGTAAGTCTTAAAATGACTTTATTGAAGCTGTTTGAATATCTAACCAGTTTTTATCTTGTTCAATTATGATGTAACCTCTTGACACTCTTTATAATGAAAGAGTTTTAACAATTTGCCCACAGATGTTATACAATTTAATTATTTTACAAAGATAATTTCAGTTTTTGCATAATAAGTATTTATTTGGTATGTTCTTTTGATAAATTAAAAATATATACAAATATATTTGATCGTAAATGTGATATTTGACTTGTAAGTTATTGCTACATTTGAAAGTTAATGTAGAACTTAAAATAAATTAGAGCTCTAACGTGTCTTTTGAACTGTTATATTTATTTTGTTTTACATAATAATTTAACTCCAATGAAGTGTGTGTTTGAAGCGAATATTCTATGTGTTAACATAAAGGCGTCATTTGTAAAGGTTTTCCGTATGCGGACACCAGCAGAAGCTGTTGAACTGGTGTCAGTATTACTTGAATACACTCCATCACTTAGGGTGTCTCCACTGCAAGCTTGTGCTCATGCTTTCTTTGATGAACTAAGAGATCCACTTCATAGATTACCGAATGGGCGAGCATTACCACCACTTTTCAATTTTACACAATTGGGTAAGAACATAATTTAAAATCATTATGAGTTTTTTGTATAGTAGATATATATTAATAGACAAATTTTACACTTGATTATAAAATGTTGTGGTTGATTATAATGTATTATTATTTAGAATTGAGTGCAGCTGGATCTTTAAAATCTGCTTTGATACCTAAACATGTAAAAGATTCTGTAGGAAGTGGCAATGAAGCATCTGCTGCTAGTGGTGGGTCGTCTACTCCGGAATATGTCTTTCCAGACAGTCCAAATCATCCTTCATCATCGACTACTTCTAGGCAACCATCAAATGAAATAGTTTAAAAGGTAAAGTGGTCAATATAAAATTTGTAAATGTATAATATTAGTTTTGGTTTATCCAATTTTATTTTAATCTGGTTATCCAAAATTATAATTGCACATACAACAAATTTGATTATTTATTTTAATAAATCATGCTAATAATTTTATTATTTTCACTCATCTTTTGACCATCTTTGCTTTGTGTTTACATTGGCTTCAATTATTTTTCTTGACATTAATTTTGGTGTAGTGAAGTGATTTAATTTTAATAATGTTTATAAAAATAATATATAGTATATCTCATTCTAGTAAAAAAATAATTATTCTTATCATTCAAAGATTTTATGATTAATTTTTACCAAGACTCAAATTTATTACTCAAAACATAAATTTAAATAATTTGTATTTTTGTATTTAAAATGGAATTTTGTTTCTACAAAAAGAGGAAAATATTTATTTAATAAATTGTTATATCATAAATGTATATTATTTCTTAATAACAGTTAATTGTACATTTGATGATGATATATTCTACTAACTTAACCTACATTCTAAAAATATAAGGAATAAATATTTAATAAAAACATTTATGTAAATACACATTATTTGATATAATTATCTGGACAATACCAGGTGATCCATTTAAGTGGGTACTCTCATTATCTTGGAAAGTATTACTTTTTTTGAAATTCATTTTCTAGTACATTTATTAAACAAGGAGCTCTACAGTTTTATATTTATGTGATTTTTTGCCATCTTCATTTTTAGAAGTGAAACCTTTCCCTACTTTTGATTTACAAATGGCAACCTACATTTAAAAGTCCACAGATAGATTGAGTATTAGTTAAAATAAATTTTAATGTTGACATTTTTGATTTTTGTCAAGCCGTTAGTGGTATTTTCCACTTTTAAGTTTGGGTCAGAGGAGAGTAGTGGAGTATCATTTATGTGGTTATACGACATACAGCGGGTTAATAATAAACCATTACTCTTCACTAACCTAAACTTAAAAGTAGAATATCTCATCAACAGCTAGCTTGACAAAAAACATAAATTTTAACACTAACATTTATTTTAACTAATACCCCTAATCTATTTAAGGACTTTTAATATATAGGTTCTCATTTGAAAATCAAAAGTCGGTAGTTGTTTTATCCTCAAAAATAAGGGTGACAAAAAATAACATAAATATAAAATTGTAGAGCTGCTTGTTTCCTAAATGTTTTAGAAAATTAATTTTGACAAAATTTTATATTTTTCCAAAATATTGAGTGCCTGGTAAGTGATGAAAATGAAATACTTAATATTGCAAGAATGTATACACTACATTATTAGTAACTCCATTTTGTTTGTTAAATCATAATAATAAACAATAATATCATCATTCTATTACAAAGTTAATAGTGGATCATAGATAATAGAAGTATAATAGATATTTATTTTATTTACTAAACTTTCCTACAAAATGGTAAATTAATAATTATTTCTATATAACAAATGTTATTTATTGTAAAATATTGTGTCCTATAGTAGTTTTAATATTTATCTCATTTGTTTAATATATTTTGTGTCTATTTCTATTTTCTACATAAAAATAAATTGTATTTATTATTTAATTATACATATCGCCTACTGTAACAAAAAGATTATATCGCTACATATTCAAATAGATAAGGTTAGACTTAAAAGTTTAAATAAGTGAATACTTTTTTTGTTGTAATAAGTGATATAAATCATTTGCATGTAGATAACAACTATTTTTCCTATATAATACTATAATTCCTAAATTACTCTTAAGCAAATATCTTCTGCTGATTTTAGTATGTTTATAATGAATGTTTTTGTTTTATTTTGTTGTATACAGTACGACCAAAAATATGCCTTGGCAATCAAACTACACACAAACTTATTAAGGTAATGTATATGTACACCAAATAAAAAAAAAAACTTATTACAAACTTGTCATATCTGTGTATTGTTTTTATATTTGTTCGAAAAAAAATGCAAAGTTTTATTTAGGTTGTCGACTTTGTTATTAGGTAAATTTTTTAATACCTAAACTTCAATACCATAATGAAATAGATTACACAATTTTAAAACATTTTTCATGGCCATTTTCATCCTACTAACAACTATTTTTTGTCTTTTTGTTGATTACAATTTTAAAAAAAAATTATTATTGGAACTAATATTCAGTCTTATTATAATCAAATATATTATGTTTTTGTTTTTCTCCTTTTTTTTTATGTAAGAAATTTGTTTTTTTTTTTCAAAGGATCTCGTCATAACGTGTAGCCTTTTAAAATTCAAATTCAAATTTTAAACTAGTACTCCCATTACTTGCCTTTTGTGTTATTTTTAAGTCCAAAGATAATTTTATAAACAATTAAATGTGTATTTTAATATAATATACTGTAATGTCTAATAAATTTATGTAAATATAGTGCAAATTCATACAGTTCTGTAGTGTGTTACATGTTGCAATATGTATACATGCAAAGGGGTAGGTCTAAAGCTTTTTATAATTTGAATACGTAGTTGTAACAATCTAGACAACCAGTCTTAAACTTTTTAAAAAATTACAGATGATTTTGTATATATGAAATTGTGCAGTGTTTTCAAAAACTTATTGCATAGATAATTTTTATTTTCTTTGTACACTCAACGTTCCTTTTTTTTTTTTTTTTTTTTTTTTTGGTAGGCAACTTGTAAATTTAATTAGTTTATATTATAATGAATATATTCAATATTAATATTATTGTCCAGAATATCAACATTATTGTTGAATTATTATAAAAGTATATATTATGTACCTCTAAAAACCATAATAATATTACTTAAGATAGTTTCATTGTAGTAAAAATATATTAACTTGTTTAGGTTACGTTTGTTAAAATTCAGTGACTATAATATACTAAAAACACCTATTGTAATATATTGTGCTTCCGTATCTTCTATTCTTTTTAATAAAATAATTTTTTTTTAATTGGTTCAATGTGTATTATTTGTCAAAAAAAAGAAAAATCATTCCAACGTAAAATTGTTTTAATTTTATTAATGGTATGTATATTAACTTTTTTTGCATTTAATTTGCTAAAGTTATTTTTTTGTTTATTTACATATTTTTTGTTCGTACTCAAGGGTTCCGCTCTTTTCTCAGGACAGTTAGAAATATTGGAAAGAAAACACTTTTTTATATGAAATACTTACAATTTTATTAATTTTTAATTAATTAACTCTAGAATGTGAAATTTTTGAAAGCCAATGTAATGGTATTTACATGTCTGTACAAATTAATTACCTATTATTACACAATCAATTTTATTAGCACATAATATTCTCTTATCTATTCAGATCACTATTATTATGTGTGTATAATGTAAAAATTAGTAATTGTGTGTAAGATTCAATTATAAATATTGATTTTGTTTTTATTTGCTAAAATTATTTAGACAAAACACAATAGTGTGCATTCTGGGCATTGTATCTCATAGTATATAAAAATAATATACTATTAATTCAATTTGTATGTTGTTAATTGTAGACTCATTGTGTTTAATATTAACAGCAATACATTTTGTTTATAATATATAAAATATTGTATGAACAAACTCATATATATGCAATATTATTGTTGTTTTGTTTTTTTTAATGCTAATGTTAAGATGTATAACCGAATAGTGATGGATGTTGTCAGTCATTGGTGACTCAATAATAATGTTACTACTAATAATTATACCGATTATATCATATTTGAATATAACTTTACATTCAACAGCTATTTTTTTTGTAGTTTATTTTGTTTTCTTACAATTGTTTAATCCCCACTTTTAGAAGAAAAAAATCTGATGATATAACACTGTTCAATTTTTTTTGTAAACTTGATTGCTGTCAACATTCATCAACTGATCATACACCTTAAAAGCATTTAAAAAACAAATCCCTTTATTTACTGATACTGCTACTGTTGCATAGATAGTTAGAGCTCAATGTTGTTATATTAAAGAACAATTATTAGATGCGCAGATACTTTATATGAGTATTGTGTAAAAGTGTAAAGTATTTATCAATAATATTGTATATATAAAATATATATATATATATTGTAAAACATTGCATAGACGTACCTATAGTTCTGATTTTTTGTATTATTATTTAATCATATAAACTATTGTACAATGTGCAATTTTTTAATATTAACTTTGATTTTTATTTCAATCAGTTCATATATATATATATATATATATATATATATATAAATGTTTGTATTTTAGCGTTTTTTTTTTTTCGATATAATGTTAAAAATTAATAAAATGTATACAAAAATATTGAAACTATGTTCTTGTCTCTCTAAACTTTTTTCTGTGGCATGTACTATTTTTTTATTTAAAATAATATTGTTATGCTTACAATGAAAACCATCCTTATTATTTCAGTTTTTTTTTTTTTTTTTCTGTTATGGAAAAACAATTTACAAAAAAAATATCATAAATATATATTTATTAGAAATGTATAATAATATTTATATTAATTATAAATAATGACAAAATATCAGATATGTTTGTATTAGACGATGTTTATAGAATGTAATATAATATTTAATGTCAAACCGGGAAATTTTACAAAAACCAACTTTTTCGTTATAGTTTGTAGCTTGATATAATACTGTGTTAAAACTAAATTATAGAACTGTTTACATATTTATATATATATATACATATAATATACACATAAATTTATAATGTGTATGATTGTAAATGCACATTATTATATTCCTATGTGTAAATGTATATATTATATTTATATATATAATATATACTTAAGTATTGAAAAATAAATAGTGTATGTATATTATAACTGTATACCTGATATATACAATGAATTTTTGATTATTATTAATTTAATTTTTAAAAGAATCGGCTTTATAGTTGATCAGAGATTGGTTATGATTAAGGTTTGTTCTAGTCCTAATCCTGATAATTATTTGGTCCATGTAGTGCACTTTGTTACTAAAAAGAAATAAAATTAGCCTTAGTCTTGGTAATACTAAAATTTTTGAAAAGTAAAGATAAGCATACCGATCTTTCTGAGGAACATTCCTATTAAAAATAGATTACACTGATTAAAAAAAAAAAAAAATGATTTTGTTATAAATACATATTCAAAATAAAGTCCCTATTCATTTTTTAAATCTCTATGACAGTAAATTAAGAATAAATAAATGTTATTATTTAATGGTGCGAAATTGTTTTGATGTTGACAGTGAGAAGGGTAAAAATAAGTCATGTATACACATATGTGTTTATACAGAAATTTTGTATGATATTTATACTTATGCATGTAACCAATATTTGTATAGCTGCCTGGAACATCACAAATTATCTAATTGATAAAACAGAAATTGAAAATATGTACATCTCAATTATTCGGTAAATATTTTCTTATTTTATTTTTGATTTCAGACTTGATAAGATTAAATACTTAATATATTGATGTTACATAAATTGAGTCTAGTAAAACCAAGATAATAATATAGAAAATTTTAAATGATTAAAATGCCTAAAAAAACTATAAATATTTTAAAAATGTAGCTCATGTCTAGAAATGACTAATATAAGTTTTTTTTAAAATTGCAAGACTTATTTTTAACTAAATAACAAAAAAAAAAAAAAATTAAAACAATGAAACCATACATTTTGTAAATTGTATTCCTATTTTAATCTTAATTATTCAGACAACTAAACAAAAAATGAAAATATGATCTCCCAATGCAATATACCATTCAACAAAAAAATTATCTTGAAATTTTATGTCTTGGAGTAAGTTGTTATTAATAGATTTAAAAAAAAATCTGTTCATAATCTAAAATTAAATAATTTATTTTGTACAATTTTTTAAAAGGCATATCTTTGCTCTTGATTTCTTTTATTATTGATTTGAGCTCAAAAAATTACCATAAACAGTGATACTTTAAAATTATTATTTATTTTTTTATTACTTCTTAAATAGTTCCATGTTAAGTATTACAAAACAAAACCTAAATACATTGAATATTCTTTAATATACCAAAAATACGATTTAAGATGACACTATAGTTAAACGTGCTGTCTCAGTCAATATATTATATATAGGTAAATCGATGATTAATGAATATTACAAATGCCAGCAAATTTGAGTTCAGCGAGGATAATTTTGAGCTGTTGGTTTTAATATTTTAGTGAATTGAGTAATTATGATACATAAAGATAAGACAATTATCTGTACAATGTTGATCCTTTTATTTTCGATGTTTTAATTTTTAAGAAATATTAGCATGTGAAATATCAAAAAAATAACATGAAATAGTTTAAAATATGCAACATAAATATTACTTATTATCATTTAGAAAGTAATTGTTATCCTATTTTGCAACTTTTAGGTACCTAATATAAAAGGGAAAAAACACGGCATTTTGCATTTTTTTTATTCTTTAGTTCTATTTATTCTAGAGTGGTATGAGGGAACTCTGATGTTAATTAAAGCTGGTAGTTTGGTATTATCAATGTTGCCGTTGCCGTTTACCTAATCAAAGATAAAAATATTACACGATAGTGATAATACTAAAACGCAGCCGATCAATTTATATTAATTTTCAGATTACAATTATTTAAAAAAAACATATAAATATTTATCAGAATTATATTAACCTAATAAATAATCTAAAATTGAAGTAAACAATATACAACTGAACGATTAAAACGCTGTAGTGTGAATAAGGAATCTCCCATTTTGTATACAATTCTATGGTGACACACAGCTGATTTATTATATATTTTTATGACTATAGTATACGTAAAGTACCAATTTGTTTTGCAGCAAAGAAAGAGTATACAATTTATCTACATGTCGATAATAATAACTGATGTATATAAACGTTGATTATGAGTCTGTGAATGGTGTACCTAATATTTTTATATTTATTATAAAATAAGCAGATATCTAGTTTAAATAATTGTAATGAAATATTTGTTTTCTAATAAATGTCGACAAATGGCAAACTACTTTCAATAAGCAACTCTTTAGTCAACCAAAAATAAGTAAGGAAATAATATTTAATTGTGAGACATAAATACAAATTTCTTTTTCTAGTATCATATATTATAAAACAAAATATAATCAGCAATCAGAAATTTTATTGAAAATAAGTTATATTAAAAAAAAAAAAAAAAAACAATGTGTATTAAATAAATTGACAAGTATTTACCATGTTTATAACGGAAGTTTCTTCACAAATAAATTACACTCAATACAAAATCATATAGTCATTGAATTCAATACTCTCTATCAAACCAATCATTATAATACAAATTTACTTATGGCTTAAAATGTATTTCTTAATTAATGTAGAAAAATAATAACATGGTACTATTTATCACATTTGAATTTATTTTATTTTTACATGGTATAATCATTACAGTATAATCAATTAAATTATCGGTAATTCTTAATCTTAATATATATATATATATATATATATAGAGAGAGTAAAATAAACAAAAATTGGCATTCATATAACTATTATGGTGAATTAGATATTACTTACCTAACCCATAATAATGAATATAAGACTTAAATTTAATAATAAAAAAACAAAAATCAGGAACTAATAAAACAGCTAAATGGTATAATACCCAAAAGTAATTTAAGACACCAAAATATGATCACTGCAGTACATCATATACATAACCATTTTCTTTTTGGTATTTAACTCCCTCTTTATCTAAATTAATTTGTAGAACATTTCATCAAAAGTCCAAAATCCATTCATCTGCTGAATACTCTCACTTATCAACTGTCGAAACATAGGTTTTAAAAAAATTACCTCAAAGCTGGTTAACAAATCTTAATTTATAATTAAGATTTACACCAATTTAATATACTCAGTTTTGAGGAGGGTATTTTAGTAAATACCTAGATAAGTAATTAGTTATAAAATAATAATGAATCGTAAAACAGGCTTTATTGTAGCACTTGGATACAAATGATATGATATTATTAGTTATGTTTAGAATTTTTTTTATAAAGCATTATATTATATATTAATTAAATTTTATTTAAAAAGTCTAAAAGTTGTTTTTAATAATATTACAATCACAAGATAATTTAGATGAATATACAATTTAAAATAAAATATAATTTGGTTTTAAGCAAAAAAATTAATAAAAATATGGATAATCAATAATTATTCCTGTTAATTTGTCGGTACCTACTACGAATGTAGTTTTCTAATTTTCACTTTGTGTTTTAATCAAACTTTGTACTTTCATTACCCAAAGTGTACTACCTGATTCTAATTTTTAATGTTTTTTACAATAATTGTACATTTCTTAATATTTTAATGAAAAATAATAAAAAAAACTTACTAGAATTATTTAATAGTAAGTTATTTATGTTACATTGTAATATTTCATAAATATATGAACTAAGCTATTACTTAGAATAATTTAAATTTATTTCTTTTAACAAACTTACATAAATAGCGATTTGTCACATCATTAATTGTCCCGGTTTATTTTTTTAGTAAATACTATGAATATGGTTTTTTATTTTCACTTCAAAATTTGTATTTTTACTATATTAAGAGTATTACCAAGATTATAATTTTTACTACACATTCTACAATATTTTTTATGTACCTATGTATTATCCAATATTAATAATTTTTATTATTATTTGTGTATCAAATTCAAGTTAACAGGTAAATGATCCTTTACATTATAATTGCTCATTTGGTATAATTTTAAAAAAACTTGCTAGATCATTTAATATGTTCCTAATATTACATTTTGCAATTATAAATTAAGCAACAAATAGTATTGTAATAAAATAACTTTAAATTGCGTGTGAGAAACTTAGGAGCAATAATACATTAACAAACAAAAGGTTGAGTACATTAATCAGATTTCGTATTAAACAAGTGAATATCATATAACACTGTTATTAATTATTTTTTTAAACAACGGAAAGATAAAAATAATAAGAAACTTTTAGCTAAGTGCATTTTACATGTAGACAATATTTTTACTATCTACCTATTAATGATGGGACAAATCAACATTTAAGTCTAGATGTTAAAAAAAATAATTAATAATAAAAATAAATATTCAGTCCATATTTTTCGATGAACATTTTTATTCATCTGTAGATGATCTGCTTTTCTTTGTCTCAGTAGTGTCCACATTATCTTCAGCCTTTCTTTTAAGTTCCAAATTTGTTTCATTTCCATCATCTTCAATTTCAAAATCACCTTTGGCATCATCTTCAATTTCAAAATCACCTTTGGCATCATCTTCAATTTCAAAATTATCTTTGGCACCATCTTCAATTTCAAAATTATCTTTGGCATCATCTTCAATTTCAAAATTATCTTTGGCATCATCTTCATTATTCTCATCTTGGCTATCAGCTGGAACTTCAGCTGATTGTTCTTCAATAATGGATAAAGTATTATCTTCAGTAATTGAACATACATTCGTTATCTTAATACAGGTTTCCGAAGCATCATTGACTGCACCCGCGTCAACAAATAATTCTGTTTCTTCAAGTTCTTCTTCCACACTGCTGAAATTATCTTCATCAGATTCATTTGCCATTTCTTCGTTGGATGATTCTTCTTGCTTGACATAAATAAATTTGTGATCTTCTCCGTCAATATGGCACTCATCATCATATTCTTCTTGTTCAAAATCATCTTCTTTGTCAACATCATCAGAATTATTGAAGAGTTCAAATTCTGGCTGTTCATCGGAAACTTTCATTTTATGGTGTACTAACATTTGTACACGATAATTTTGTAAAAAATCATCAACTGAAATTTTCGATCCATGTAAAATATTGGCTTCGGAAAAAGTTTTAGAATAAAGATCCAACTCATCGTCTTCATCACTGGATATTATCATTCGACCATCAATAAGAACGTCAGGAGCGACAATATTCAATCTTTGCCTTAAAACCAAATCTTCAAACTGTCTAATTGTGAATGTGAATGTATTTACGGCTAGAACAATATGACCTTCAGTAGAACAAGTTGTACAAGTGGGACTAGGTTTTTGTACAATTTTGTCTTTGACTATGATTTCCCCTTTATGATTTGGCATACCTCTAAGGTATACGGTTTGACAACGTGGATACTTACCTTCAAGTACTCGCAAACCATGTATCACTATTTGGCCACCTATAATTGCATTTGCAGTAGGTATAGCAGGTATAATATTTCCAGCCATTGACTTAATATTAAAATGGCTTTTGATTTCGATACCGAATATAACTGATCGAATATTAGTGGAGGCAACTACAAAATTCATGAAATCGTCATCATCCTTGTCCCAATTTAAATAACCTTTCTTAGATTGATCCAATTTTTCTTTGATGGATGTTATACTATCAATAAACATTGATATATATTGAGGGAGTGTCAATATTTTGCTTTCTTCCTCATGAGCATATTCAGATTTGACTCCATTAAGATAAACGTAATCTAATTTCCTTGGTTTGATACTTTTTGATTTGTATAAATCTCTCATATTTAAAAGATAATCAATATCATCATAGAATATCTTTTTGAATAACTTTTGACCATCGTAGTTATTTGCCTTGGCCCAATCACGGGCTGATAACTTTTCCTCGGTTTCGTCTTCAGTTTCTTCCATAGATACCAACTCTTCTGTATTTTCTCCAAACAGCTGACTAAATAAAAACTTAGCCCAGATGATGCAATGAATAGGTTCCTTTGGTGTGTTCCTTATGGTGCACATCGGGTAATCTTTAGGTACAGGTTTTGGGGAGCATTCATAACAAAGACTGAAATCTTTCTTAATGAATTCCACTTGTCCGCTATAACCCATTGTTCCAGATTCTATGAGGGGGATGTCACATGAAAGACACATGCGATTAACATGGCTGCGAGCTCTTTTGTTGTCCAAAGCATTTATTACTAATTTAAATTTATTAAAAAACGCAGAGCCATATTTTGTATCCATAATATCTCCATAATGAGAATTTATATTTACATTAGGATTAAATCGTAAGACACTTTCCTTAGCTGTATGCGATTTAGGTTTACCTACAGAATCTTTGCTGAATAAAAACTGACGATTCAAGTTGCTGATTTCTATTGTATCCAAATCGATGACTTCCAACTCGCCGAATCCCATTAACACGAGGTTTTTGAGTACCTCGCAACCAATGCCCCCGGCACCAACCAGTAGGATTTTCGAAGTCTTGACAACATTTTGCATACTGGGCTTAAAGGCACCCACAATATTTGCGGCCATGATCTTAATAATAATAATAATAATAATAAACAATTTGGTGGAAGTTAAATATTAATTAACAATATATTAATACGGATTACTTACCAATTTAAAACAACGCTGAGCAATGAACAAAATTTGACGTTCAAACACGTGTTTACTTAGTGTTCGACGTTGATGAAGAGAAAAACATGAAATGACAAACAAAACAAAGAATACGACACACAAGTACACACGACACACTACTACGAAATGCCAATTTACGGACTGCAGTATAGCGGTAGACGCGAGACGCCGCGCTTAACAATATGGCGGCTATAAGCAAAAGCTTGGGGCGAGCGTCAAACTTGATGACCAATCAAAAACGATCACACTTAGAGACGCTCACTGGTCACACTGGTCAGAGAGGTAACCAATTTACTAACCATCTTTCGTGGAGGAAAAAATGAAACCATAATCTAGGCGTCACGATTAATGGAACTATAGGTAGTGCTCTAGTCGACAGAATGATAAGAAGGGACCAACTGGTAGATGGGCACTATGATAGCATTAGAATAATCTTTGATTATATACAATGGATGAAGCATAAACCTGATATGTTAATTGGTCTATAGGATGGAGCCACAGCTCAATATTTCGATGTATCTGTTAGCGACGAGTTGTCAAATGAGTTGCCTTTAATACGCATGCGTGTCGGCGAATAGTCTCATATTTATCCCTGATGTGATAAATGTTAAATAACTGATAATAATATACATTTTAATTAAATAAAAACTTGAATTTACTGAGTTGGTTATAAACTGAAATCTGTGCAAAGTATCTATAATGCATTATAAATAACAACAAAATAAATATGTTAATAATTTGAGATAAATATGAGACTAGTCGACGGTGCGCATGCGCACTAAAGGCTACTTACCTATCGAGTAGTCGTTAACATGTACATCATCGATATGTAATTATATGTAGTCTTTGAGCTGTAGCTATCATTATATTATTATTATATATATATATATATATATATATATATATATATTATTAGTATATGACCTAAAATATTGACATTATTATATTATTATAATTGATTCCATTGTAGTTGTTCCCTAAGATTTATAGGTTGTTTTGTTTTCGATTATATAATTCCTTATTATCATTTTTATTTAATAAAATAATCAGCGAATCAGTGTGACCCCACCAGATTATTTAAATTTCTTTAGTTAAATGTTAAATCATTGAACATTGGTTTCACTGATTATAAATAATAATTACAACTATTTTTTAAATATTAACGTTATTTAAAATTTAACTGTCTAGTGCTTACTGCTCAGTGAGTTTCTAGTAGTGTTTGCAGCATTGAAAATCCTTCCCATTGCCTATCGCCCAGTATTGTCTGCAGTCCTATACCCTATGTATAGTTTCTTGTGTGTTTATTGTACAATATTGAGATCCAGATGACTGACGTCGGTATTTGATGTCTACAACAATTAAATATAGAACTTTGATTAGTAAGTTTTAAGTAATTCATTTTTTTTTATACAATAGATGTTTGTTTACATACTTTTATTTTTTCAACAATAGATACATTGTTTTGAAATATTTTGACTTAATCAAGAAAAGTTCAAACAATTCAACGTCCTTGTTAAACTTTCACTAATGTAAGTAATAGATATGTAATAATGAAAAGTAAAAAGGTTTGTAAAAATATAAATATGGTAGAACTTAAAAATAAAGAGGACATTTTTAAAGAGTTACCTACTGCTTTATTATTTTTTTCCTAATGTTTAGAGAAATTTGAAGTTGTGAATTCGAAGAATGGTAAAGAAATCAATTAATAAGTAATACAATTGTTTTATTTGCCTACCATGTTAAAATTCTAGGGTTATCTATAATTGTTCTTGCATTTTCCTGGAATTGTTGGGTGGCAGTGACAACTAAATTAAAATATTCTAATTTAATTAGTTAACACTACAAAATTGCATGCACTCTGATACCAAATATATTAATATTTAAATTAGGATAGAAAAAGATTGTATCATTAAAATAAATATATAAAGAAATTAAACACTGGTGATTAACTGCTGACAGTCTAAGGCAGTTATTAGAGAGATTTATGAAAAAAATTTGGTGTTGTATATGTGTTCTTTAAAGGGTTTTTGTTAAAGAAATTTATCTAAATGCTATAAAACAAACTGTTATTTATTACGAGTTTATGTTGCACCGTTAATCTTCATGTCGGGGCCGATAGAAGATAATCTGTTAATAATAAAATTATATTGATTCAAATATTGTAAATAAATTTTTAAAGTATTTGGAGTGTTATCAAAAAAGCAACAATGTCATCAGAGCTTTGTAAATTTATATTTTATTTGATCCATATTAGAATCGTTTGATCATAAGATATATATGGATAACAACTATTGCATAGTTATACTTTAATGTACTAGAAATACCAAGAACTCGTATTTGAATCTTTTAGTCATATTGTTATAAATATAAATAAATCTGTATTTATGTTGTGAGTACAACATTGCAGGTATAAACAATTATTTGTCTGTGTTTGAGTATTTATTTTAAGTGTTTATTTAATTTGGCCAGCTTATATTCATTATTAAAAAATTAATATTAAATCCTTTTTGTGTATTTATATTAAGATATTAAAATTTTAAAATGGTTTTTTAGTTTTTAAATTAAAACCATTTAACTTGATTTGTTTCAATTGAAATTAAATCTAGTTTTGTTTATGTGATAGATCATGGAACAAGAATTATATGAGATACAATTACAACTAAAAACAAAAAATGCTTTTATTAGTGAACTCCAAAATGATGTAATGCAACTACAACACGTTGAAGATGAAAATATTGACCTTAAGTCAGAAATTGTATCCAAAGAAACAGACCTAAGGCAATGGGCTCTAAAGGTAAGACATTTTTAAAAATAAATTAAACTAGTATAAATTTACGTACTTAAAAAATTGTAAAATAAAATTCAATTATAGTGAGTGTAAGAAGTATTTGGAGACCCTATGTTTTTAAATAAATATACAATTTTCATGGTTATCCAACGCTTACATAATATTCTCTTATGATTTTTAAATATATTTCAATAACTTTAAAGAAATAATAATAATAATTTAATATTTTAGTTACGTAAAGGCCTGTTCACTTATAATAAGTATTATTGAAAAACGATGAGATAAACAAAGTCTTATTATTCCAATTCAGTTTTCTTTAAACTATTGTTGTAGTACCATCTACTATAAGATTGGTCAAATAAAACAAAACTTGAACTAATTTTATGGTTCCATAATTAATGCCAAATACCAAAAATTGTCAACAAATCTCACATAGTAGTGAGAGGTATAAAGGATTGTTGCAGTAAGCGTAAAAGTCCCAAAAATAAGTAACAATCTGGTCATCAAAAAAAAAATACAAAACCCTAATAAATGTATAGGAATACAAAAAATGTAATCTCAATAATACTAACCCTCTTAAAATATAATATTTAAATATACGTTTTTCTGGAGTAAGTGTCAGTGTAAGTTTAATTAGAAATTGTTTTAAAAACAATAATTATGATCGGCTTATAGCAGTGGTGGATCCAGGTGGGACAACAAGACACATTTGTCCTTCCTAAAACATTGTTGTGGGGTGGTATGTTTTTATCTTTCTTGTAATATCTAAATTAAAGGACACCTGACTGTTAGTCCTAAAGCAAGTCCATCAAAATAATATTATATTTGGTTTATTGGTAAATTAAATATACACCAGTTCTTGGATCCGCGCTGTCTTTTAATTTACTATTTTCATATATTATAATACTTAGTTAATGTATTTAGTTCAATAAAGTTATGAAATTTTGCCTTCCCCCACCTCAAAAAAAAAAAAAAATAATAAAAAAAAATTGAGCTCTTGATCTACCACTGACTCATAGAAGATATTTTGCAATTAAAGAAATTGACAAAAGAGACTTGTTTTTACAAGAGAAAGTTATTATTCTGTTAATGTCTGTACAAAATAATACTTACAGACAATAGTAAATGTAATATTTTTGGCTCAGATAGAAGACAAAACTCGGAAAAAGGTGATTACAGAGATAATACAAACTAATATATTGCCTACTGTTAAATATGAAGAAGATTCTATAATGGTTTGTGGCACAGGGTGTCATAAAATTACACTTAATAACGACTGTGTAATAAGATTTTTAATAAAACATAATTTACAATTGTTAGTTTATTGACCAAAAAAAAAAAAAAAATGTATTTAAAAATATAAAGAATCTGAATACTTTTTACACTCACTGTATTTTAATTTAAATATACTTTAGTATTCCAATTTAGAGTTCAAATTATTGGAACAACAGAAAGAATATACAATACAAATTGAATCATTAAAGGAGCAAATATCAATTCTAAAAGAATCAACAAATAAATCAAAAGAAGATTTACCAGTGAATCTAAATGACAGCTTTATTACAGAATTAAAAATTGAACTATACAGCAAAAAGGTATTTTAAACTATAGAAAACAAAAATCTCTATACAGAATGCATGTTATGGTGTAATATTTTTAAATTAGGAAAAACATGATGAGTTGCAAAGTATTATTAAAAATCAAGAAGTGGTTATTATTGAACTAGAACATATTAAACAAAGAACTATTGAAGAGCTTGATGATTTTAAAAAACAAAATGATATTAAAACAGATCAATTGAATGAATGGAAACAAAAATACGAAGTAAATATTTATCAGTTCAAAAGCTTCAATATATATTTCTTTATAATTTTAACGAAATTAGAATCATATTGTTAATTAGAGATAGGCGCAATCAACTAATTCCTACTAGTAATTTAGTAGATTAATATTAGTCGTAAAATTTGATGAAAACCGGTTTTTTTGATGAAAAAATAATTGGTAGTCAGTATAAATAGTGATTTGTGCTCATTGCCATCATCAATGTTGTTTACAGGCTTTGCAAGAAGAATTTGAACTGCTCAGAATACAAGTCAATAGTATAAATAATCAAAATGAACATAATAAGCGAGGAAATTCCTTATTTGCCGAAGTTGATGATAAGCGACAAGCATTGACAGCAGAACTAGAAATGAAAAGAGAAAAATATAAATCATTAAAAAAATGTTTATCAAAAGCTAACCAAGAAAATAACCAAATGAAGGTTAAATAAAATGAGAAGCATTAATTTAAAATTGATTAAGTTTAATTCATATATACATGTATATTATTTTTTTTAGATGGAAATGATGAGACTAGAACAACAATTAATAGAAACTGAAAAAAATGACGATTTGGAAAAATCTACACTAATACAAAGTTATAAAAATCGAATAATTGTAAGTGCATTAAAATTTGTTTTTATATTAACTTATTGTAAGCTTGCATTCAATAAAACTTATGATAATGATAAAAAGAAACAAATTTTTAAGTTTTAAACATATAAAATATTATTAGGATTTAGAAACAATAATTAGAGAGTTGGACAAACGACCTGAAACACCTCAAGTATTACAAATAGACAATTTAAGCAATGAAGGTATGAATGTTGTCCTCCAAATTGTTTCTGATGTTAGGTAAGTAAATTTTAACTATATAAGGATGTATACATTTTTATTATCATTTTTTTTTTATTTTAGAAAAGAAAAAAAAGCATTAGAAGAAGAAATGAACAGAAGATCGGTGAGAGATATGGAAGCGCGGCAACAATGCTTTAAAGGAGAATGTGAAAATCGACAGCTTAAAAAAGAAATGAGAAAAGACAAACTACGATTAAAAGAATTAGAACAAAAAATTTCTGAATTGACTTCTAAAAGTAATAACATTTTAAATTCTATATTGAAATAAAGTTTTTATATTTTATTTGATTTTGTTAGTAACTGTGTTTAATATATTATAGCCAGAGAAAACCCCTATAACCCCCCATATTTAAATAAGGATAAAATAACATTTATCACACTTTTATGAATATTTTAAAATTAACTTGTTTTTACATTTTTAAATACATTATTATACATTGTTTGGTGTATAGGTAGTAAGTGATACATTATTTTGTATCGAACTATGTTAATTTGGTAGTATATATTTTAAAAATATAAAACTTCTAAATCATCAGAGATTTTATTGTGTTATTTTCATAAAAGACATTTTTCTCTATTTTAGATATCATAATAATTAAATATTGTATACTGTTTGTAGTGTCTTTAGACAAGGAAAACACAATTGAGAATAAACGTGTGGCTAAAGGAGTGCGTTTTAATGACAATTGTAAGATTGAAGATGGTGGTCCTTTGATAAAACAAATGAAAAAAATTCCACCTACTGCTGTTTTAAACACCATTATTTGTCCAAAGTATGAAGACCTATAGTGTTATAATAATCTTTAAAAAATTAATTGTTTTAATTGTATTTTTGTAAATGTAATTTTATTTTATTATGATGTATATTATATTAACACATATTTGTTTTAAACAAAATAATTTTCTTTATATTTTTCCTTTTACAATGTATTATTAAAAGAAGTGTTATAATTTGAATTTTCTCATATAAAAATGAAAATTAATCATAAAATTTGATTAACACGTTCCATATATATGGCACATGAAATTTGTCAAGCATTATATTTTTAATGTAATATTACTATTGTTTATAAATTGAGTTCTTGTCAATTTAGTATGTGAAATAACTCTTTGTAGTTGGACAATTCATTTTTATTCTAGGTACACATTTGTAATCAATAAAATATTACAAATTAGTAATTCTTGATTTTATAATTAATAGTTTTATACATTTCTTATTCATAATTTAATTACTATTAAAAAAAAAAAAAAAAAATGGTTGATAGTTAATGTTAGGGCTGATTTCCTATCAGCAACAAACATCTCTGTTTTAACTAAAAAATAAAATAATTCTATTAGCAAAAGTGAATTATCAATTAATTTAATTTTATACTAGACAAATAGTTATTGAGAAAATAATTTCAAAATTTGAAAAAAGCGGTTTTATAGTTGAAAATTGTTGAATGATGCAAAATTAAAAATTACATTTACTTATTTACTTACGAGATATTTAGTGATTATTTATCATTGTTTAGAGATTGTTAAATATTCTTGGTTTTGTCTTGCACACAAGTTCAACAAATTACCTATGATTTGTGTACATAATTTTCTAAACATTAAATTAGAAGGCCAGTATTATCTGGAGTGGCAAAATCATAAACAGTTTCAATTGTGAAGGCATAAACACGAAAAAAAGATTTAACTATAATTTACTAGTATACATACAATCACTAATAAAGGTTACAATAAGCATATGAGGTGAACAAATAATTATTTATAATAACTGAAAGCTTGAGGAGAGTAATTATCCAGCAGTAACATTAGACACGATAAAATGTTAACTACTTTATATATAAATATTATAAGTACATTTTTTAAATTTTTGTTTATCAGTTTAATTAAGCATTACTACAACACCAACATTTTTTAAATCTTTTTATTGGATTCTCAGGAATGTTTATTGAGTTAAGTGCTAGGATAAGTTGATTCTGGTGGTTTGTAAGATGAGAACAGAAATGCTTGTAAGAGAATGTGGCCACTTTGGTAACAGTCTATAGTTCAAGATCAGAATGTAGTGTATGATTCAACTCATACAATGGTGCATTAGTAATTATACGAAGTGACATAGACTGAAACGTTAGCATTTTGTAAATGTTGGATTTTTTTCCGCATTCCATAATGGGATACCGTAAGCCCAATAGGTTTCAGGATTTTGTAGAGCAACAGTTTATTACTCAGGTGTAAATATACACCTCAAGCCAGCCAACGTTTACAAAGTCATCTTAACAACATGGAAGCGTGGACGCATGATATTCCAAATGGAAAATACAAATAAATAATGAAAATTATTAAGAAAAATCTTTGCATATCACTTTACTCTTAAACAAGGCATAGTCTATTTGATTTTTCTGTTAAATAAAATTATACCATCGATTACTAGGGTTAAATACTTAGGTCTGGTTCTTGATGAATATTTAACTAAAGCCGAGCATATAAAACAAAACTGTTTTTTTGCTTAACTCTAGATGAGTCACTGTGCTAATTTTTTGGTAATAATTCCAAACCAGCATTTTATTTAATAATCATAATTTTGATCTTTTGTTGTATGAGAAAAAAAGAATTTCTAAATTTTGTCATAAAGTTTTTGCTTTCAAAATTAAAACTATTTTAGACTTTTCTGTTCTAGATAATGCTATGCATTCATTAAACTGTCATATAATTTATTGAGAATATTACCTAATGCCACCTTTTAAACATGTATACAATTTTACATAAATGAAATTAGCTATATTTGAGTTAATATTTTCTTGACCACAGTTAAGTCTAATAAAAATATAATTAAATTTCATCTTAAACTAAATGAGTAAAATACAAATTTTAAGAAACTAATTACATTTAGTAAATTCACCATTGAAATTTTCTATCTCTAATTATTAAATACATCTCCATACTGATTTTGCGACTGTGGTTGAGTGTTTCTCATTTGATCGGGTGGCGGATATGATTGGTTATCCCATATTGGTTGTGTATTTGGTGAAGGTGGTGCCCTAAATTTTTAAAAACATAAAGCTTTAATATTATATTTAAGATGAACTTCCAATTAGATAAAAAAAATATATATTTGCATTTATAACATATTTTTGACCATATACCAATAAACCAATGCTCAGAATTTTATTTCAGTGATCGTTTATTCCACATTTGAAATATTTTAATAATCCTGATATCTAAGCGTTGAGATAAATGAAACAAATTCTAATCTCAATGTAAATATTATATCTAGTTGATTACTTTATCTACCTGAAAAATATTGGACCCTTTTCTAAGTGGCGCGAGGAATGTATTTGTTTTACAATGATGTTTATGTATTTAATTTTTTTCTGGACAATTTTTCTACAAGTAATCTTGCTCAGATTTACATTGATAATATTTTTCTGAAAGAAAATTAGACTGAAGAGGTACTTTGGGAGATTTTTTTTTTATTTGTCCAATAAATGGGAAAACAGGTACAATATTCAACAAATATTATTAAAAAAAATATATAACGCATATGTAATTATTTTAACATAATACGACATATAATATATTGTTGACAAAGTAACACTATCAACTGAATTCTACTCAGAATCGTGTTTTCCTTAGCAATGGTTTATTATCGCTTACAGATATACATTAAACTTCCCCTCTACATCCTACCCAACTTTTAACCTATAACAGTGGTTGTACCCATCCTCATTATGACAGCTTTTTTTTTTAATTGAATTAATTTTTTATTACAATGTGATATGAATGAAGTTCTTAGTACATCATACTTCAACTAATAAAATTGTATACCTGTAAACTGGTTTATTTGATTGTGTTCTTTCGTATTCTTGTCTATTACGAGTTCTAAGTTCATCATAAGAAATTGATGCATTTGCATTATAACTAGGTAATTGATATTCAGTTGTTTGTTTACTAGTCGAAAGCCCTAAAATAAAGACAGATGTCTATATATTAATATATTAAGAGAATATATGTATGTACTAATAAATTACAGAAATTAACTTACCATCGTAATCAGGTCTATAATCTGTATCTAACAAATTCACAGATTTATGCATATCAATATCAATATCAGATTTATAATCTGTTGGTAATGATTGACTGACATAATCTACAGTTTCGGATGTCATATTTGGGGACATGATATTTCTTAAAAGTAAAAAGAAAAACAAATATTTATAATTTTATTATTGATTCATAAATAGTGTTAGCTTCCTAGCAAATCCCACAAGTCATTTTTTTGTGGTTAGTAAACAACTTTTCTTCTACAAATGTTATTCAAATCAATAACTTAGTGAGTTATTGTAGCATGTTTAATCTAGTTGGTGCATTGGGAAACTTTATGTTATGAATTTCTTTATAATTTTTTAAAACTTGTAAAGCAGACTTAAAAGGATTTGCTGAGTAGCCAAAGATATTTGCATTACCCTTCATTAAGTCCACCCTGTAATTTTGCTTTGCGTTCCCTTAAAACTCTTCCTATTGGACTATTAGGAATTTGCATTAATTTTTCTGCGCATATAGTTTGATAAGAATATTTTCCAACCATGTAACCAAGTATTCCACCAACCAATACTTTAGGCCATGGTCCCCATTTTACACTTGGTTTTAAATAGCCTGCAAATATAAATCATAATCTATTTTAAATAGAAATAATAATAACATAAATCTTAATATATACAAAATAATAATTAGTAATTTTACTTAGAGTCACAGATAAATTTAATATTGGATACATTTGTTATTATAAAAATTATTAATTAAAAGACTCATTTAAAACTACTGGCTTTATAGTGTTGATCAAATTAGACCCATGAATAATGTTTAAATAATGTTTTAAACAAAATAATAAGATGACTTACCAGCATTCACACCTAAGTATGACGCTGTGCCCAAAATTAAAGATAATGGTAAGCTTCTTTGGTAAAAGCTTTCACGATTGCAATCGTTCATGGCTTTCGTTTCTTCTGGCGAGAACTGATAAAACTATGTAGATTAGAAAAAAAAAACCAAAAGTTTTATTAGGATATTTACTTTAAAAAAAAACGAACAACATACTATAGAATCTGGCCCTGGTATCCCTTTTGATTGCTGCTGAGGTGCACTGAATTGTAGATTCTCCATTTCCATGTAGTGTGATCAAATTTTTTTAACTTGGACAATTAATTAACTTATCAACCAAGTATAAATTTCAAAAATTAAATATAATTAATTAAATCCATATATAAGTATAAATTATAATTATATAGGTATGTAAATAACTATGCTGTATGATGAGATAAATTTCTTGTTAGACCTATGGATATAATATCTACAGTTATTGACGGATCAAAACACGGTCTTAAAATAACATTTAATTTGTTATCGCTTATCATTATTGTTCATTGAAAAAAAATACGATAACGTGATCATTTCTAAACCACGGTTATCTAGAAGACCGTGTTCTGAACACAGCCATTGTTCACCAAACGTATCCAAATAAATAATCTGATCACCACTCCATCATTTTTGTTTTCACTGTATAGTTTTATTTTCCCCAAATCACACAAGTCGTTCTCCAATAATGTCAATTAGTCTATGTTGTTATTCTGATTAAATTTTTACTGTTAATATTTTGATAGTTTTTTTTAATCTAGTGTCCGTAGTCAATTTCCTGTTTTTCTATTACAAAACTATAGTACAATCTGTCTATTCTTTAAATAAGAATTAATATGTATGTACTTAGATAAAATATTGTATTAGGGCTCATATTGCTAAGTTTTAATCATATCGTTGGAAATAGACTCGTAAAATGTAAGTTTCCCGTTATTATTTTAATTATTTTGCATACCTAAACCATTTTGTAGTTTTTTAAATATATATTACAATTTCTATTGCTAGGAAAACTACTAACATTAAAATCGAAATTTGATTTAGTTACTTATATTGATAGTTGTTTAACCTGTGTATTGTTTTTTATTTGACATGTTTAGTATTCTAAACTGAGTTATTAGTTGCATATACCTATTATTTTACTATTAATACAATGAAACATATTAAATAAGTAGACTTTGATAACAACATTGGTAGATTTATTTTTAATAACAATACCCTAGTATTCTATACTAGAAGTTTAAACTAGCATAGTATTTTACATTTTCATTCAAATTTTTCCCTACTGATTATTTTATAAAAAGGCAATACCTTCTTAGATTATAGTTTTGCATAGAATAAAAACTCATTTATATGTATGTAGAAACCTTACTTATTATTATTGTTAATGTAAGTAAGTATTAAATATAAATAAATTTATACATACCATGGTATGTATAAATGATTCTTTAAACTTCTTCTAATCTAATGTACTAATTAAACATATTCATTATAATCTAAAAGTATGGTTAAATCTATATTACCCTCCACAAAAATTACCATATAATACGTATTGTGAACACTAGGGTAGTCCTTATTTTTTACCTTAAATAATTTTGTGCTGCGGGCTCAAAATTTTGTTAAATACCTATACATTGTAAAACTAATTTTTTGTAAATTTTGGGTATAAGTCAACCCCTTCACGTGCCTAAAAGGACTTAAAGTTTGTAAAAAGTGTTGTTTTTGTTTTTTTTATGTTTATATTTTTATTTTTTACTTACAAAAATGTATCAGACTAAAGTGTCTACTTTATAATTGTAAAATACATTTCCTACTTATTAGCACTTTTTAACTTTTCAGTGAAACTTACCGTTCTATGTCAAAAGTTGATAGATTTGTATTAGGAAAATTCAAAACTGTACAATTTTAAATCTACCAAATTTTAAATCAATTTTTTATGTACAATGGTAAGTTTCACAGAAAACTTAAAGACTGTTTTGATAAATTGTTTGCACACTTAAAATTTAAAAAAATTTATGTAAATCATTTCCTCTTTTTACAACACCTATAGGTTAAGGGCTACCCTAATGAATACTGAGAATTTTATACCTACACTCATATTATGTATATGCATACACATACATTACCTATACAATTTTTATATGATTGTACTATATAAAAGAAATATATATCTATTTATTTGTGTTAGGTATATCATAGCTGAATAAAATGGCGTCTAGAGATAAACAATCACAATATGTTGATGGGCGACGTACCTGTCCACGATATGGGGGTGGACCAGCTTCTAGTAATGGAGACTATGCTTATGCATATTATGAACACGGTCCTCATGACTCCTCTAAACCACACACATGTTCGAAACATAGTTATATCAACCGCTATGGACGTGAAGAGAACATATATGAAGAAATTGGAACATCTAAACTCGACGAAGAAGTTCGATATGTTCATTCGAAACATTTACAGGTAAATATTAATGTTAACATTGTTAACTAATGGTTTTTTCATTAATACAGTATTACAGTATTAAAAATGCCTAATGCCTTATTCTGTTTAAGGTCTTAGACGAATTAAATTTATCAATGGAAGCGATGATTATGCCTGACAATGGTGCATGTTTGAACAATAATGGTTCATCTGGTATTAATTTAGGAACTTCTAGAGATGGCTCACCGGTGAATTTAAGTGTAGATAGTGGAGTTGCTTGTGATGCTAGTAGTTGTGGTACTAATAGCTTAAGTCGCCCTCGAAAATCTCATTTTAGCACAAAACGGTTCTGGAATAAAATGCCTACCTTAATTTCACCCAGCCCGAGCAAAACATCACTTCCAGGTTAGTTGATCGTTTTTTATTTTAATTTAAACTTAAAAGTGTGGAATATAACTATATTTTTTAAAGTGTTTTTATGAAGGATATTTTATATAGATGTTTCTAAATAAAATTGTTTTGATTAAATAGTACTTTTATGTTATCACTCCGCCAAACAATACAAAATAAATAAACACAAAAAATTAAAGTATAAATATTCCTTAAAAATGGGAATCTTTGTTCTTATTTGTATTATTTATCTCTTGATAAGTGATCTATTTTATGTAGGCAATAAGAAGATGACATTTTGCTTCATGTTGGCCGTTAGTATGTTGTTAACATTTGTAATTGTTATTACTTACTTACTATACTTATGAAACATTATGAAATACAATAAAATTAATTTCAATAATTTATTTTTAGTAGTTTTCAATGATGATAAGAAATACATTTTTACAAAAGAAAAAGATATTAAAAGTTGCTCAAATGTGAAAATGGTCACATAATGTCTATTAAGGAATCACAAAAGAGTTGCTTGAAGGAAAAGGGTATAAGATTTAACATTTGGATAACTGGTTCTAAACTGCCAATATATACAATTCTCTATTTCATATACTACTGGGCCCAAGAAATGACTTCGGTAACATTTTGTAAGCGTGAACTGACAAATGGGTCGAAATTTTGTTGATGATTAGAGCAGTTATCTAAGTGAGATATGTGTATGGTGGTTAAAAAATAGTAATAATAAAGAAATTGGTGGTCCAGGTCTTATTATTGAAATAGATGAAAGTTTATGTGTGGGTAAAAGAAATAATGCTGGACGTATTTTGCCACAACAATGGATTTTCAGTGGAGTATGTTGGTAAACTAAAACCTGTTTTAAATTAGTGTACCTGATTGATCGAAAAAAACATTGTTACGCATTATACTAAAATATATAAGATCAGGTTCAACAATTTTGTTAGATTGTTTGAAAGTTTACACAAATTTGCAGCAAGTAGGTTTCCAACATAAAACTGTTAACAACACTTATAATTTTGTTGATCCAGAATCCGGATACAGGGGCACAAACCCAAAATATTGAGAGGTTATGGATTTATGCTAAATAGGGGACCAAAAGAAATTTCTGGAATCATACTTGGCAGAATTTATATGGAGAACACAATTTAGGAAACAGATGCGTTTGAAACTATCTTGAAAGATATTTTTGAACTCCGGCTTATTTCCTAATTTAAAATAATTTTCACCATAGCATACAATATCATTTCTAATATAATATACAATTTAATTAATTTAATAATCATAATTTTTTTACATCTTTACTATAATAATTAGGGCTGTGAATTTGTAGGAAATTGTATTTTTTTTTAGTTGATTGTGAAACAGCTTCTTAGTACATAATTTGAATTATGTAACAACAAATTCATTTATGAAACTTATTTTGAATTTTTTGATGTTTTTAATTTTTAAGGTCATTTTTGGACACTATAATGTATTTATATACATATATATTATATGTATTTTTAATCAAATTTTGCCAATTAACATTTATTTTATAAAATAATATTTTACACAAGCTGTATACGGGTTAGGTAAAGATAAGGATTCAATGAAATAAGGCAATGTTACAAAAATCAACTTATCAACATTCAAATTGGATCAATATTTTTATAATTTTTCTATTAAATAAATACATTTTTATGTATATAATATACTAATATTAATTATATAAATATTAAATTAAAAACCATATTTTAAATGTATTTTTTGAGACTTTAAATTCATATTTTATTTCATTTTTTTAAAATTTTGTGTGCATTTTTAAGATTTTTCACTGTATTAAATTCACAGCCATAATAATAATATACAATTTAATTATTTATACTTTTTTTTTTCATATTATTTATTTTGTATTGTTTGGTGGGGTGATAGCAAATAATAGCGCAGCGATAAATTTATTACAGCATACTGGTGGGGCGATATTAAACAAGTACTAATTTAATTAGGATAATAATGGTATTATCAATTTGTTGTAATGCATAAATAATATTTTATACACATTGATATTAAGTACCATATATTTCCTTTTTATTGTTATATTATAACTATGAAAATTTAACATCAATTTATTTTTAAACTTTTGCTATGTGCTATTTAGACCTAAATTAACATAAGTACATTATTTGATTTTAAGATGAGTCTGTGCGATGGCGTCAAAATTCTTGGGATGAAGTTACACAGTCAACAACAATTAATGAGAGACATACTCCATCCCAAAAAAGTTCAAGTTCTGACAGAGATCCAGAACTTTCATCTGAAGAAGAAAGTAACAAGTATGTATTTAAATATAATTAATTTAAAAATTATCTTGATATCAAATTTTGCTATACTTTTTTTCAGAAGTTATGATATTAGAAATAACGTTTCTAAGACATTGCGATGGACAAAGAATCCTCCATCCCCAGATCCACCATCTAGTCCGGGTTTATTATCGAGATGGTTTTCATTAAGAAGATGCTCTCAATATGATTTAGATGTTAGACCAAATAGTAAAATGCCTTTATTGCCAGAGGTACTTATTCTAATTAAATTGCATTGCTTAAATTTAATTTTTCAGTATACTATATACTATACTACATTTTAATATTCAAAAAATAATAATTGAAATAGTATATTGAAATCTGCATATTTTGCATGCTGCACAAGATTATAATATAACAAAAATGTAATATAATTGATTTGAAAATATATTAATTTAATATTTTTTAGGTAGAAGAAGACTGTTTTTCAAGACGACTTATTCCACCGAGTCTTCCTCCAGCACCCCCTGATATTTCTGAACAAGAATTAAGACGTAGATATATTGTTGACGATATTGTGAGAAGTGAAAATTCATATCTAGCTACTCTTCATAGACTTGTAAATGTATGTTATTTAAATGAAAATTGTGTTAACATAGATACTAGGTATACCAATGTTCAAATTTTTAATTTTTATATTAGGATTACAAAAAGCCATTGGAACAAAGTATGCCATCAATTTTAAGTCAGTCGAAAATCTCTATACTTTTTCATCGGGTCCCAGAGATACTTCAGTGCCATACACTATTTAGAATAGCATTAGCTGAAGCTGTTGCAAATTGGGATCGTGATCACAGAATTGGTGATGTTTTTGTTGCATCTTTTAGTAAAGCAATAGTTTTGGACATTTATAGCGGATTTATTAATAATTTCTTAAATGCTATGGAATTGGCAAAAACTGAAACTAAAAGAAAAGCATCGCTTGCAGAATTTTTCAAAGTTAGTATAAGTAATTTCATGTATATTATTGATTATGCTATTTATTAATTTTTCAGAACCGACAAGAGGCATCCCATGATCGTCTTTCATTTTACAGTTTGATGGTTAAGCCTGTACAAAGATTTCCACAATTTATTCTTTTTCTACAGGTTTGTATTTTTTTTTTTTTTTTTTTATTATTCAATATTTAGTTTAACAATGTTTTTGTATTATCATTATTATTATTTTTTTTAGGATTTATTACATAATACAGGCTTTGGTCATCCCGATAGAATGTCTTTGCAATTAGCATTAACTCAATTAGAATCACTAGCAGAAATGCTAAATGAGAGAAAACGAGAGAGTGAACAGGCTCAGGCGTTTAAGGAAATGTTGAAATCTGTGTCAAGTAAATTAGCTGTTCGTCCAATTGCAGATAGTAACAGATGTCTTTTAAGACAAGATGATGTTACTCAAATTGTTAGTTAATAATATATATGTATATTTTATTATACAGATACTTTACCCACTTTATTTCGATTGTTTCAATAATTTTCAGGAAATAAATCATGGAGAAGTAATTGGAAAGTGTAAACCTCGACGTCTGTTATTATTAAATGATTTACTTGTTTGTGTTTCTGTCAATACTAAAGATGATTCAAGTAGCTCATCTCAAAAAAGATTAACATTTAAATGGAGTTTTCCAATTTCGGAAATACAAGTGTGTTACAATTAATACTATATATTATAAAATAATATAATTAACAGGTATAATTTATTGATCAAGAAAACAGTTAATATATTTTAATATGTGTGTAGTATGTATAAGGGTGTAAACATGGGAGAAAGGATTTTGACAATGACCCCTTTCCCCGTTGCTTTAATTTTAGCCAAGGTAAGGTTAAGATGGTTGTAGAACCATTAATCTCCCTAACCCTCTTATCTATTGATAAATGTTGACTATGCCACTGTACATATACCTAATTATAATTAAAACGATCATTTTAAAAAATTTAAATTTAACATTTATGGTTTTTTTTTTTTTATAGTTTATACAATTATCATTTATCACAAGAAAATAAAATTTTAATTGTATATAGGTCATAGACACATTATCGTTACCAAGTGTTTCTCGTACAATTGCTGGCAGTACAGCATCACACAACAGTATAACAACAGACAATCTGTGTAATGAAATGAACCATCTCATGCATGATTATCAAGTAATCAGTCGTATTGTCGAATTAGCATCTACATTAAAGGGCACATATTTGGTTAGTAATAATATTTATAACTGAGTTTTATTGAGTTATAATACCTTAAATTAAATATTTTTTAAATTCTTTACAAATAACACATTTTCTGTAAAACTTTGTTTAGGATCTAGCGCCAGATCATTTAAAAGGAATATTAAATGCAATACAATGTGAAGTGCAATATAAAGGAGATCAAGTAGCATGGATGGACTCCTGTTGTCTCCAATTATTTGTTAATCGTCAAGGATACACATTCCAAATGGAAAATCCTGATATACGTAAAGCTTGGATAACTGGTAGGTTGAAAATAAATGGGTATGTTTATTAATTTTTATAATCTTTAAATTAATTTTTTAGAATTGAGGCTTGCTCGTTTAGCACTTGATCCAAATAATTCTCCAGCGTGGGAAGTTCCCGACCAGGAGTTGATGCGTCCTATGACAAAAATGCCTTTATTTGTTGGTGCTCACCCAATTACATCGTCTAGCAAACAAGCAGAGGTAACTTTCAAAATGTCAATTCATACCATATTTTATAATTAATTTATACTTGTTAAGTTTGAATTGTCATTAACTGAACCGACTTACTAGGTAACATGTGGATGTTTTTATTCATCTGGTTGTGGTAAATTTTCTTACTTGTGGGTCTGCACTACAAATATTCCAATGAATACACATATAGCAATTATGTCTGTTAACAATACTTGCATTCTAAAACAAATTACAACATTAGACCTGCCACAGACTATTGTAACAGCTATTGAGTATGTCAGGGCATCTGATACTGTTTGGATGGGTACCAATCATAAAAGGTAAACAGAAGAGTTGAATAATATGTCTATATTACAAGTTAACACTATTTACGGATTCACTGTTATTTAATATATGTATTTTTTTTTTATTAGTATTTTAATTTTTAATACGGCCGACATGTCGGAAGAGGCAAGCATTTCATTACCAGGAGAAGACGAGAGTCTTAGAGTAACAGCAATCAAACACCATTGTGATACTGTATTTGTAGCTCTATCTAATGGATCTTTGCTTCTCTATAGAAGAGGCAACCAATCCAAAGAACCAGAGATTGTAATTTTGGGCCCTGAAGCACCTATAACATGTATTTTGCCTATTAATTTATCTTTATATGTGGCTTGTGGTAAACAAGTATTTGTCATGAGTGCAATCACTGGAGAACTTCAAGTAAACACCAAATGATACAATTTTCTTTTTTTCTATAATTTGTATTCGTAAATTATGACTTAATTTTTTATTTAGAAAAATTTTACTATTCATCATGGAAAGAATGTAAACCTATTAGCTCATTCTGGTGTTGGTCTTTGGCTTTCATTAATGAACTCGACAACTGTTTGTTTGTACCACACTGAAACATTTAAACATTTACAGGTAATATATTCAATAAAAGAAATCTATATGCAGGCTCATGTTGGGAAATATGGGTGTTCATTGTTCTTAGGCAATGAACCCCTCTGATTTTTTTTATAAGATCAATTTAAAGAAAATTTATAAAAAAAATTGTTTTTCATAACATCAAACTTTAAGCAATTGATATTTTAAGTTTATTTCATTAAAAAAAAAAAATAGAATTGAAATGTCTACGATTATAACCATCAATTTTTTTTTCCAGGACATAAACATTGCATCAAATGTCATTAGGTTAAAGGGTACTGCTACCCCAGTTAATGTTACTGCTTTAATGGCATGTAAAGGCCTCCTTTGGGTTGGCACAGATGCAGGTATTAGCTTAACTGTTCCTTTACCCCGTCTAGAAGGAGTGCCTATTATCAGTGGCAAAGTGAATGTTTCTTATCATGGACATACTGGTCCAATATCCATTTTGGTTCCCTTACAAGATCCACCAACTGTTTTAAAACGACCACCATCAAAAACATTAGCTAGTGACATATACGATTTGTATGGTCGTTTGATGTGTGTTAAAGACTATGATAAAAATGAAGATGCCTTGAACTCAAGTCGGTGGTCTTTGCGGTCAACTGATGAGTCATCAGCAGTGCAACATGCCAGAGCAGCAGATGTATCAAAGAAAGATTTCACACTAGTAACTGTTTCTTGTGGACGTGGTTATGTCAATTATCAACAGCCGTGTTGTTCAACTATTGAAAACAATGCCTACATAATACTTTGGGAGATTAAGTTGTAAAACCATGCTGGTAATTTATTATTAATAATTAGAGTTGTAGGCAACTCATTATACTCAACCTGCAGGGTGTTTCTGAAATAAATAATATAATTTAGAACTTATTATAATTGCAAAACCGAATGACAAATATTATATAATTAGAAAATCAATTTAGTTTTCTTTTAGAATCTAACAATTTTTAACAAATTAATATTTAACCTACAAATTTTAAGTTAGAACTTAAGATTAATTTATCTTCAACTAGCCTTTACATTTTCTTTCAAGTTTTACATTGACATATATTTTATATTATAATATTAATACATATATTTCAAGAAATGCCTTTTTTTTCAAGCCAAATGCCCTTTTATCTTGCCAAATCAAAACATTTTCTTAAAACTGTATAATAGATTAACTGTAAATAATAATTAGATAAATATTAAATTAAATAATGGTATGGTTAATCGAAAGAAGTGGTTTTTTTTTTCTATTTGTCTTTCGCATTTACTATTTCTCAATTTTTCATTTTTCTCTTCTATATAATATTAAGATAGACTAATAATCTTAACTATCTTTATGTGGAAAAAAAAATGAATCATAGTAATAAATTATCATTTTCTATATATATTATGAATGACAATAGTGATTTTATTATAATTGATAAGTAGACAATTAGTGCAACAAGTTCCTTTCAACTTTTATTCCATATCAAATTAGAATCTGACACATTAAACACTTTTTTAAATATGTAAAGTTATTATTAATATTATTGTTTGTTTTTTTAATAGGTATACCATTCTCTTTGTCACTGTTTACGATATTACTATAGTTTATTAGTAGTAATAATTACTAAATATTAATGTTTTTCAACATTAAGAAATGAGGGGTATCAAACGATATTGGTTTTCTCTAAGATACAATGCATTCAATTTAACTTTGTGTGCAAAATAGTATAAGTTATGGAAATTACATATAATGTGTGCATTTTTATTTATTACATATTTGTCAAAATAATGAATTATCATATTTTTTTCTTTTCTCTGATAATATATTATTAATTGGTTGTGATATTGAATTTTGGATCAATATTAATATGTTTTTTTGAACAATTTAAATATTAGTTCATGGCATTTGAGAAAACTTTATTTATGACTTCAATGTATAATTTCAGTTTTCCAGCCGCTCAATCATAACTATTGTTTGTTTAATAATTAATCATTTTGTCATATTTATGATCAATCATTGTCGTACCCAAATGGTTTTATTAGAATTCCAGGTGTTTTAGTTTTTTTTTTTTTGTAGTTTAATAAAACGACACACACCATGTATATTATCAGTATTATCGACTCGTAGCTCAGTATTATATGATAATAATAGGAGTGATGATGCATTTGGACAAAACATCTAAAATTGTATATTATTAGGTCAAATTTATATGTACCATTTTGAAGAATGAAATAATAAAAAATTATTAATTTTAATAGTTGTATCTAGAGTGAGAATTGTTTTTTTTTTATACAGTTATTTTTAAAACATTTTCAATTACCTTAATCATAATTAATGAAACTGGTATGTTAACTAAAAATGTATTAAACTGTTTGATTTGTTTAATATTACATACTCTCATACAGATGATCAATATTCTGTATGCCACTCATTTTACACATCTAGGTATTACATTTTTGGAGGGTTTTTGCTTTTAAAAATTTTAAATGGTTACATTTTTTTGGAATATTATATTACTATATTTTATTTATCACTACTGACTTTTGATTTTCAAATAGCAACCTATATAATGTACAATATTTCCACGAATAACCCAAATCTAACTTCGAGCAGTGTATATATTTCAAAATTTTTAGTTTTTTAGATGATTATGTATAATTTTGCCAAATTTGATTTGTCCAAATGATTACGCCCAATAATAATACTTGTTTTTCCAAACTTCGAGTACTCCTCATTCTCCCAAAAAAAAGACTGTTTAAACAACTAAATACCCACATTCCAATGTTTATCCCATTTTTCAATATTATTTTATATCATATCCATTACCATTTTACTCGATATTTTCTTTGGTGTCTTCTCAATTTTCCATATTTTTATAATAGGTATTGCCGTATTTTTATTCTCAATATTACTGTTGCTCATATTATTATGATTATTATTATTTTTTTTATGTATTTGGTCGAATCTCTTCATCTCTTTAAATATAATATTATATATTAGGTATACACGTATTGCCATCATAATGAGGTTCGAGAGAAAGGAGATTTTCTTTTCTAAACCGTAGTTATATTTTTAATTTGTTTGTAATTAAGTTTAACTGTTCGCTGTCGACAACGACGAGGTAGTGTAAGTCAAATACGTCAAAATATAGGCTAGGTAAGTTAAGTTAGTCTATGGCGGTAGTATTATATACATTTTTTCTTCTCCAAACCATTTTATTGTCGTGTAATGTTTTTACTTTTTCTGTATACCTACTCTATATTTTAGGCAAAGATCAAACAGATTTTCAATTTGTTAATTTGTCCCTACAAGACCTTATATAGATGTAACGGAAATATTTTTACGATTTTACTGCGTTCGACATTCGCCCTCTTTAAACCAAAACTGCGTTTTGTAAATTATATTTATATTGTTAAAGAATCTGGATATTTTTTCTCAATTTCGAAAAATTCGGACGTCTGTCTCAGAACTCAAAAAAGGTTTTAATCAATTTTTGGAATTTCACTTTATAATTGTGTAAAATCTTATGTAATTTTTTTCATTTTTCATTTTATTTTCTGGTCTAAATCGCACAAGTATATTCTAAAACATGTTATAGTGAAAATTAAAATATCTCAAGTCACTGTCATTGCTCCCTTTGTGTGAAAATAAACGCTTACGTCTTTATACCTATTATAATTATATGACTCGGGCCATTTCGAACGTTTCGAAGGTTAGGCCATTTAGCAACTAAGTCATTTAGCAATTTATAAAAATTGAATTCGCTTGTATCGAATACTATACAAAATTTACCCGAGCCCTTCTTCCCTGGGACCAAAGATATATATTATTATAATATAATGTGCAATATTATCCCCAAGCCCTTCTTTGTTTGTCGTCCTGTCAAAAACGCACGTGTTTGTACCCTTATAATACCCAATAATATTGTAGGTGATAATATATTATTATTATTATTATTATAATAAACTCTGTGATACTCATTGATGTGGGTCACTCGGATTGGTTTTTTTTTCGTCAATCTGTTACGCTTGTTATTGATATGAATAATATATTAAAATAACTAGGTATTTTAAATTTTTTTTTTTTTTTTTTTAAATTTCGTATACGTGTATTATTATTAATTTTAATATAGAATACGACTTAATGTGCGTGAGACAACAAACTGTATTTATTTTTTTTTCATTTTTGATGTCACGGCCTATCACAATATCCACATTGTTAGGAGTATTTTTGTCCGCTAAACATGTAGTCTTAAGTAATATATTTTTTAAGATAACGCGCGCACCTACTTGACAAACACACACACACACACACACTTCGAGTTATAGTCCAAAATATTAGAGTACAAATCGGCAAAGAATAAAATATTTTTAAATAATAATAAGTTACTCGCATAGTATACCTCCTAGGCCAAAAACTTATTTATTTATTTTTATGCTTTAGAAAAACTAATATTCTAGAGTTTTCGATCGTATTTGTATTTGTATTTTTTTTTTTTATTAAGTTATTTATGTGTATAAGGACGATTAATTAGATTTTTGGACTTTATTTTATTAAATCACCAAAACCTCATCAGTTGTGGCATCGTGATTATTGAAAGGAAAAATAATTGAAATATTCAATAAAAACAAGGACTAACCGAACCGTTTCCTACTTAAGAGGCCGTTTTAGAAGAAACATAAATTCTTATAAAAAAAGTTCCTCTCTTCTGACGTATCGACGCAATCATCGGTCTTTTTCACAAACGGTGCGGTTAATTCGAGATTCGTACTTTTTTAAAAAAAAATTTTTCATTGTGTGGTTTTTTTATTATATTAATAATATATTATTATACTCTAACACGCGTCACGTTATTATATATAATATTATAATATGTTCGCTGCGTTTTTACTTTGCTGTTTAATTTTTATTTCCAGAGTGAGAAAATAAAACTGTATAATATCATAATTGTTCATTAAAATATCGTCATAAACTATATTATTATATAGTTATTATTTATTCATTAACAGGAACACATACACACACACACACACACACAACACACGCAAATTATAATATGAATATTACTATTACCTATTTACTGTTATTATATAATTCGGAAGAGCTGTGTCTACTTTGTGTATCAAAGTCGAGAAACGAAACATTTTTATTCGTATAAAATATTTTATATTAAACAAATATATAAGTATATAAATTTTTTTTTTTTTTTTTTTTAGTATAATAACGAATATGGTTGTAATATTGTATTCATTTAATAACACAATACAACTTAAACCGATACTTAGTTTTAAATAATTTTTATTTGTAAAAAAAAATTATAATAATAATTCTTTTGTATTTTATGTAAAAAAAAAAATTGAATAAATATACGATTTTTCCTTTAACCGTTTATAATATTCCGTTTTTTTTAAAAAATGTTCGTTTACATCCTGAATATCAGCAAAACAATACAGGAACCATCTCAGTGACTTTATGCAAAAAATAAAAACCATGGAAATCATTCGACACCTATAGTTATGTTTTCTATCTATACAATTATTATATTCTATAAAAAAAAAAATATCCCCTGCTGCAAAGGTAATAATTATTGATAACACAATCAAATCAAGTGGTAAATCTCATTTTTATATTTTACTGGACATTTCTTTAGGTGATCTATCCGGAAAAACTACTTTATGTTATGTCATTTTACAAATTTCTGTTCACCTGCAGTGGATTGCAGAAAATGCATTTGAAATGGCAGTAACAAAAAAAAGGTGCTATCATTATTAAATCCAATCGAATCTATGCTAAATTAAAATGCATGTCATCAAATTAACATTGCACATTGAAACTGACATCGTGCGAAGTAAATGGTATAAAAATGTGTTTTATTGTTTTTATCGTGATCAGTGATACAATTACCCTTTAGTTTCAAATAATTTGAATATAATCTAGACAAACAAAATATTGTATGAATGTTGAATACCTTCAAAAATTACTTTTGTAGTATTATTGTTTTGTATATGTTCAACTTAATGAAAACTGGAAGATTGTACCACAAGAGCGACTACAATTATATTGTTACACACAATAATCTTAGTCTGTAATAGTTTCCAGAAAAATTAAATTCAGTTATTAATAAGTAGTTAGGTTATATTTTATAATTATTAATAACTGTATTAACCACAAAGGGTTATAGTTATCTCATAAATTTCATATTTTTTTGTATTTTTTCATAGAAATTGTTTTCATATAGTTTGCTTCTTCAAAAGTTAAAAAATTCATGTTGACCTAAAGCAAACTTTATAATAAGTTAATGAAATAAAACTGACTTAAAAATATCTATATGAAATAATGCCGATGAAGATTTTTGTCTTATTTTTGAAGAAGTTATACTAGTAGATATACTAATGTTATTTTTTTTAGTAAACAGCAGATTTAGATGATACTAAACTAAAAACCAAAATAATTGTAGGCATACAAAAAAACGTAGCAAATGTGGAGAGTTTATCGATAGAAAATTATTATAAAATAACTGTTTTCATTGAAAATTGTTTACAGATGTACACTTATTTTAGATATAAGTCCCATTTAGTTTGAGTTTTCGAAGTCTGGGGGAAAGGAACACTTTAGTTATTGTCACTTATTGAAATTTAAAAAACTCAAATAACCAATTAGATCTATTAAAAGTAAATTCTTTAATATTTATTAGATTATATGTAAACCGACTCTGTTTTAATTTATTTTTACTGAGCAGGCATATGCGTAGAATAGGTATACTATTTTAAAATGACAAAATGTACCCCAACAATATTTAATTTTAAATTAAGTATATAGTTGTAGATATAGTTGTTTTAAATACAAATTATGCGTCCTCCGTCCATATACAAATGCAATAACATTTGTAAATATCTCAAAATCCTTATTATGGTAATTTCCAAAGAGTTTAAGCAGACTTTTTTTTTTTTTAAAGTCTATATTGCGCTCTTTTACGACCAGTTCCAGAATATGGTTCAGTTGTAAAACAACGTAAATTCCTGACCTTTTGTAGCCTACCTATGTAATAAAAATACCCAGCTGCCCACCCCATGACTGTCAACATATCCTCACTAAACGGGACCGCCATTTCATGAAAAAAAAAAAAAAAAGATACGGGGAAGAACGCACATACAAGTAGGTACTACTCGGTATATAATTTATTGGGGGACATAAAGGTCAATTCATATTGCGTTTCCTGCTGCGTAGGCCGTCTCCGTTGTTGTCATGATAACCGTGAAGTATAGACCCCCTGTCGGGAGAAAGAAAAATTGTCAAATTACCATAATACAAATATTAAAAACAGCAACTTAAAGAGGTCAATGTAATAAAAAAATAAAAAATAAACCATCGCACGCGAACCTTTGAAAGCGCCGAATTATATTAATGTGTATAAGTGTACAATATATACCTACCTACTCAATTCTATTCGATGAAACTAGGTAAATAACGAGGTGATGACGTCACATTATATCGTTTGCGCATATTTATCACAACAATATCTAAGTAACTCCGCCGCGTCTTGTGGACGTATAATCAAAGGCGAAATGAATCTTAAATATAACCTACTATCTACACATTACTCACTCGCCAATGTATCGTAATATTTTCACAAAATTTTACTGAACTGATAGTAAATGAGTGGCTACTAAATATTTAGTTATTTTCATATTGTGCTCCTACCCGTTTAATGCTAATTTTTGAAAGAAAAAAAACCCGAGAAGCAATTACTTATTAAAGCTCGAGTTCCTTTTTGTATTTATAGGGTTTTCAAAGTGTTCGATGGAATTCAAATGGGCGTTTTATCGTGTCTCTAGAATGTTTACTACGGTATGGGATGTTTCTGAATTGTTAATTTCAATAGAAATGTTTTTTTTTTCACTGCTTACCTCAACATATGTATCAATTTCGAAAAAAAAAAAAAACCGAAAGTTACTTGTTTTTATTGCATGTACGACACTTGTCATATTATATCGAATCATCGCGATTTTAAATTCATATAATTTATTACTCTCAGGTCGGTATTATAATAATATGTAAGGAATGATTGTAATTTTTGATCATTGACGAGAAAACGCCAAACCACTTTTTAACACCCCGGTTAAAGAGTTGGCCACTGTTGCTTGTTGTACAATTACTTTTTTTTTTCTTTATTGGAAAATAGGTCAAGGTATTCGAGTGAATCGTGCATTTTTCGTGGTTTTTTTTTTTTTTATAATTGCGACTTGACGCGATATTATTTATTATATAGTTTCCCTATTTTTATTTTTCCTTAAGTGTACTGCAAAGGTATTTTTATAAAATATAGTTCTATATTGTCGGTATAAACGACGTGTTACGCGGTTTAGATAGGTATATATTATAATAAAATTTTAGTCAGAGCTTTCGAGACTTCTGTTCTGTATTATTTATTACTTTTCACACACTTCGTGTGCATTTTGAGCTGAATAGAAAAAAACCGTTTATTGCGATAATATAAAATTACGATAAAATACACTTAGAAAATAAACACAAAAATTCTACAGCTTTAAGATGACGCGTTAACTGTTTCATTCTCAGGCAACATGGCAAATCCACTTTACTTAGAATAAAAATTATGGCGTTTATTATTTGAAATTCGACTTTCTATATATTTATGTACACAAAGAGGAAAATATGTCCAAGGGTTATACGTAGCTTTTTTCTGAAAAATTGTCAAACAAAAAATCACAAATATATTTATAAAAAACAAAAAAACAAAAACCCAAAATATGGTTATAACTCTTGTATGTTATTAGAAACAAGCTACGTTGTTTTGTTAATAGTATTTTAGTTCAAATTTCAACCTAAACGTTACAATTTATGTTCTAAGTAATAGCATTTTGCTAAGTTACCCGTTAGACTGAGACAGTATAAATGCTATTACAGTCTCCTCGCATAAAAACGTTTCAAAAATAATTTTTAATAGTAATTATTACTATGCAAATTTGTATTTATTAAATGAAAAAATATATATTATTTTGGTTAAAAAAAAAGGTCTTCGTTTTATATACCTAGATATCATACTGTACGCTTGCAAATTTTTTATTTTATTTAGATATTTTAGATTCTGAGGGTATTGAGGAATGTATTGGTTTTATAATGATGTTTATTTGTATTATTATTATTTTTTTTATCTGTGAACAACTTTTCTACCAGAAATCTTACTCCGATTTTTAAGTGTAAAAGGAAGATTAATTTTTGATTTTCCAAACGGTTTTCATATTAATTGGGAAAAACGTAGGAAAATGTACGTATAAAAGAAATTTCGGTCCAAATCGTTTTTCGTTAGCAATGGTTCATCGCGGAGTACAGATATAAATCAAATTCCCCTCTGTATCCTATATTTCCAACTTCTCACCTACAACAGTGGCCAGCTCAATGTGCGAAGTATGTCCGTTTTTAAAACTAATTTTAAATGACCATATATCATAGGTACCTACGCCAGTACCTTATTATTGTATGCAACGATATATTTTGTTCTGCACAATATTTCGCTGTCATCATTGCCACACACGAAAATATAGTAAAAACAATAAATAAATAAATAATACGTTCGGTTTTATTTTATGTTCGGTAATGACAGACTCGTATACATAAAGTAAAACTGTAAAATTATTGTTGCAAAGTAATAGCTACGTATAATAATGCATAGTAGGTAGTTTTAAAAAAAAATCATTATTTTGTGTCAACATTAAAACTTATGACTAAATTACATTGTTTATTAATAGGTACTTAAGTAGCAGCTAGTCGTTAAAATGCCATTGAATCACATTTATAAACAATATAATATATGGTGCATATATAAGTTTTCGAGTTTTAAAACTGAAAGAAACATGTTCTATGTAACTACGTCCTGTACAAAAAATATTTACAATGATTTATTAAAATGATTATCGATACAACTCCAGTAATATCGAGTTTTTTTAAAAGGTACATATATAGGTATAGAATTTTCGCCTGGATATTTATTGCATTTAACTCTTATAAAAATTGTTTTCAGGACATATGGCTGGTAACATTTCATAGACAGTCTGGTGATAATTATTAAAATGCGATCATTAAATATTTATTTCGAGTTGAAACGAGAATCGACGGATCCGAAAAGTAGTAACATATTATTATATAAAACTATAAGGAAACGAAATATTTTACTTTCGTTTTTTCTTCAAATATTGTTTTACGGGGAAAACAACAATATAAATAATTATATATACAACGTATATTGTTGATAAAATGTGGGTTTGGTTAGGTTATTCGAATATACCTGTTGGGCTCAAG